GCCTCCAGTGCTGCAACAATGCCTTTCCTGTGCAAGTAAAAGGGGCACCGGGCACTGAGCTGTGGCCCAGGGGACCTGTCTGTAGTTCTTGTTCCCGTCTTGTGCACTGACTTCAAATGATCTCACTCTGCAGTCTGCATCGCACAGTTCTTGCTTAAATCTCACTGCTGGGTGAGAGGGCTGGACTACAGACTCAAACCCACTCACGGAAAGCAGGCAGGAGTGTGATTCCCTCAGGACTGAGCCTGCCTTTCTGAACCTGCCTGAAATGCTGTACCAGGTTGCTGGACACACTGGCACAGGCTCTGAGCAGTGCTTCAGTGCACCCCACAAGTGATCACACATCCTCTCGGCCTCACCAGTGAGACAGGGCTCATCCATCATCTGCACTGAGGTGTGAAATGCTGCCCTGGACACCAGCCTGGGAATACCTCACTGGCGGATTCCCACTGCTGATGGGGACAGCTGTCTCTGGGCCACAAAGATACTTCTGTGTTGCTGGAGGAAGGAGGTTATAGGTCACCCTGCCAGCACAACTGAGTGTCCGACAACCAACGTGAGAACAAAGGACAAGGACCTAAATCTTGTGGAGCTTCCTGTTGCAGCAGAAAACATGGATTTGCAGGGGTTTGGGGTTCAGCACTGCTGCTGGAGTTAGGTACTCTTAGACAAAACCTGTTTCCTTTCCTCACTTGGCAGGGAGAAGCACGGGGGAATCCACTCGCAGCTGCAAATGCCCCTGCCTGTTGTGTTCTGTGTGTCAGTGCCTGTGTGGGTACAGCAGCAGCTTGTCAGCCTGTGCCATGAAAAATCCTTACTCCCAAGTAACACAAGGCTTAGAGGCTCTCTGCCTCACTGGGGTAAGCCAGGCTGGGATGCTTCTCCGGAGCTGAGACTGAGAAGGGCCTGAAAGTCTTTGTATCTCCGCAATTTTATTATCACAAATGCAACAGCAACAGCAAAAACTGACCCCTAATGTTGCATAGCTCCAGAATTTATTTGTCCTTATCCAGTTATTTGACCTGGCTATTTCCTGCCTTAGAAAGCCACCCAAAGGAGGTCAGAGGGAGGCTTTTGCCAGGGTTTGAGAGTGGTGTGGCAGGGGGAGGCAGGCAGACAGCAGCTCACCTCCATCCCAAGTGGGTTGCGGCGCAGCACTGGCTTTGACTCCTGATGGGCCTGGACCCAGCAGAGCGTGGCTTAATGAGTGATATTGCTACAAAGCACATTAGTCTGAGCAGCTTATTAATTACTAACTACACCTCCTGAGGCAACTGAATCAGCAGAGAGCATATCATTAAATCCAAGATTGTTTTTGATATATTTTAAACATTGTTCTAGAATCCTCTGCCTGGAAGAAAGAAAGAGGGCAGTGGTGAATCGTTCATGTGAACATTGAGTATATTTTAATGGTTCTCAGTCCTGCCTACTACTCTCACATTTCAATGCAGACCTATTTAATATGTTGTCAACAGTGGCCTTTCTATTTTTTTTTTTCCTTGTCTCTTGCCATGAAAAATAAAGTAATGATCCCAAAGCATTGTTCAAATGAGCACTTTAGGTAAAGAAGGAAACAAAGCCTTAAACATCAGAGGGACAAGGAATATGTGATCAACGTTTTTGGATTGAAGTGCTTCTTCTGTACCTGGCAAAGAATTTGTGCAACAATTTCTCAAGAAGCCTTCTGTGTGCTGTCCAGGCAGGCACAAACTTATTGGGTGAGGTCAGATGCAGCTGCATTTTTTTACAGTGCTTCTTAATAAATCCTCTCCTAATTAGATGCTCTTCTGGATAACTTGCAGCTCTAAAGCTCAGAGGAATTTTAATCAGTTCAGACTCTTTTGGGTAAGGATTACATTAAATGTGTCCATACATCCATGCTGACTGGCCATTTGGCCAGTATCTGTTTAATCTGCAGGATCTCCAGAGGAAACATGGCAATGATCAACCCAGCACACAGCAAGTCAAGGCTGGGAGATTACCCGTTTAGGGCTGGACGTGCTGAAACTTTTCCTGGTATCAGTACAGTATTTATTACATTCTTCAGTATTCTCTGGCAATGGCCTTGGCCCTTATTCAAGGCTGAGCAACTCTGCTCAAAACCTCAACAGGACACTCAGCATTCCCTGCAGGGGAGGTGCTGTCAGTTGGTGGCAGATGTTTGGCTGGATTCCTCTTCTGCTTTGAGCCCTGCCTGCCTCTAGACCTGCTGCTCTGCCTTTGCCATGGATGCCTCAGAACAATGAACACTTTGGGGTGTGGAGCCATGTGGGATGGCAGGTAGTGGGGAAGGGAGGCAGGGAAGGGCAATATCTGACTCAGGATCTCCTTTGTTTCCCCCTCTCAGGCATAAAGGGGCTGGGCTAATGATCCAGCGGGGCTGGTGCTGCTGAAGCCAAGTACCAGCATGGTGGTGAAGGTGAGGGTGAAGCTGAGGGCAGCCTGCAGAGCTCTGGGCAGTGGTGCCATGCTCTGCGTGCTGGCTCTGCCATGCTTCCCAAAACATGCCCCCTCCCCTCCATAGCTTTTTGGGGAAACAATTCTGGCAGCAAGACCCCTGTCCCTTGTCTCTCATTAGCCCAAGTCAGCATAGCACATGCTTCCTTCTAGGCAGAGAAAACACAGTTACTGTGCAGTAAACACACATTCCCAATCTTTATGTTTGGGAACTGCGTGATCCGGAAGGCGCGACACAACAAAAATCTGATGTACGCTGTGCACAGGCTAGAAAGGCAGCAGCAATGAAAGGCAACCTCCAACATTCATGCCTAATGCCTAATGCTGACCTCGGACCTCTGCCAGCACAACCAAAGTAAATCCATTACAGAGCTTTACAAGCACAAAAAGGCTTTCACTCAAGCTTTAACTTGGATGTCCTGCCTGCAGCCAGGCCTCTCTGCAGCACTGCTGCTCTTACATCCCCACCTGTCTCCAGCAAATAGGACACAACTGCATTAACTCTGCCCCTTCCTGCTGGCCCTTTTGCTTGGAGGGTGGTCGCTGAAGCAGCAAGGTACCTCCTCATGCCAGCTGCCATCAGACAACACCTATGCTGCTCAGAATACATCCTTGAATTTCCTTCCATCACTTCATAGAATTCTGCAGCCTTGGGTGACTGCAAAGAGGAGCAGCTTGGGTTGTGTTACAAAGGTATAAATCCCTTCCCACTCAGTAAGATCAAAATTAGGCTATCTGGGGCCAAATTATTTTACCAGCATAACTTGGCAGGACTTCATTGCCTTGTGTAAATGAAGATGGCTCTTGCATTTATCTCATCAGATGAGTGGCTAATTGCTTGGCATTCCTTGAAGATATGAACAGACGGCAGCAGAACTGATAATTCATCTCAGCTGCTCTCAGGAGAGAAGTAGCAGATTTTTGCATCCACTCCTGTTATGCACTCGGGCAGTGCAGCTTTCCTGTCCTGAGCTCCTGGCAATGGCTGAGGTGGAAAACAGCTTTTGTTTCAGCAAGGAGAGGAGATTACTCCAATGCTGACAGTGTCCAGGCCATGGTGCAACATCAGGGTACTCTTAGGATACTATCACCTCAAAACCTCTCCTCATTTCTCTCTTATATGGTGGTCTCATTTTTGATCATTTCAATTTCCAGAGCAAACCTACACCTGGCCAGCCCATAGCACATTTGTTCTCATGCAACACTGCTCTCTAGCTCCAAACAACCTGATTCCCCTGTGCTCTTCACAAGGGGAACAAGCAAAATTTATTTAATTTCTTCCCATTAAATAAACTCTTCAGTCCTGTCCCTGGCATGTGTGCCTTGCTGAGTTCCTTCTCATTTGGCATCCTCTTTGACATGGATGCAAGTCTCATGAAAGTTCGTGTCATTAAGCATTCCTTAACTTTCACAAAGCAATCTTACACAGGGGTAGTCCTAGCTAATTACTCTCACATCCTGCTGCTCTTATTCCCAATTTATAAGCTTCTAATTTACAGCAGTGCTTTTGCCCACAACCTTGCACCTAGTGGAGGGCATGCCCTTCTGCCATCAACATCAGTCCCTCCCCAGCTGTCACTGCCAGAAACAGCCAACTTCCCAAAATATGAAACATCTGCCTGCCCTTCACAAGTGCCAGTGCATGCCACCACTCCTGCTCCATGTCAAGAACTCCCAAAAACTCAGGGAGAGCAGATGCAAGGCCAAATCCTGAATTCCTCTAGCATTACCTAAATTATAATTTATAAATAAAAACAACTTTATCAGGTTTTATTTTTATTAATTTATAAATAAAAATAAAAAATGAATTATCTGCATGTTTGGTCTTGAAGTACTGAGACTGCTTTTTCTTTTCCTTGCTGAGCAGTGCATCACAGAAAGCACAAGGCCAGCCCAGCACAGCTGCTTTTCACCCTATTGAGGGTTGTTTTTTTAAAATGTTTTTGTTTACCTTTGAATGTGTTCTTTCTTTTAAAACTTCTTTTCTACCTTGAATCAAGATACAAAGGTGCTGAAAACACTGCTGTAAGTACACTTACACAAGAATACTTGCAACACTGCCTAGAAGCCTATACCTAGATCAAAAAATCTACTCTGAGTGTTGTTTAAACTTCTGAAATAAGGTAACTTGAAGCTACTGAAGCCTTGTGTTCACCAATTTTAAAAACTTATGAAGTAAGAAAATGTTGGAAAGGAAATAAAACTGTTTTGCCTAACAAATCTGTTTGAATTCACAGAAGCCAGCAGTGATTGACATTGTTATTGAGATTATTTCTTGCAGTATGCACTGCCAAATCTACATTCCACAAGCATTGATATTTTAGGTTGTTTTCATGCAAAACTGCTTCTTTTGTTTCCCAAACCCAGACATTTCTTCCAACTGCTGATCTTTCTGTGTCCCACACAGACATTTTAGTGATAAAAAAGAGGAAAAACAAAAATATTCTCATGCCCAGGACAAACAGAAAGCAGCCCCACTGTATTCTAGTTCAAAATCCCTCCACTGCACTTCATAAAGACAAATTTTAACAAATTTACACTTATTGCAAATACCACAGAAGCTTTTATTTTGCTCATTTGCCCCAGTGCACAATTAAGCTACTTAACATGTAAATTGCAATAACAGAACTGCAAGCAGCTTCATAAAATGAAAGACCAAATACACTTGTAACATGATCAGACTGTTTTTAATCTGGTGGATAAGGAACAGTGGGGTAGAAGGGAATAATCTGTTTTAGGGTCCAATACACAGCTTAGATTGTTGTTTCAACACATACATCTGTTATTAAAAGCCACTGTTTAGCAGTGTAACATGCACCTAAAAATTGACAACGTGGGACATCATCCATTAAATACACTATTTGTAGATGAGAATCGTTAGGGATGGGAAAAGGATTAATATAAGAAAAGCACCAGGGCTACACAGCCCTTCTAGAACCAGGTACTTTGCAGGGAGAGTGTAATGCCATTTGTCAGCTCTACTGCGCCATGCTGTGAGGACGAGCATTTGGTCCATTTCCCGCATGTCTGCCGTAGAAATGCACTTCTTTGGGAAAGCAACCACCAGGGCTCTGCAAGCCTGGGGCCACCTCACACCCCCAGCTTATTGGCCTGGGTGAGGACAACCTTGAGGACTGGCATGAAAGCAGAGGTCTCGCTGAAGTTGCTGGTGCTGACAATGTGTGTGTGGATGTTCAGTCCCTCCTGGTAGTTGCGGGTCTCGATGCTCTTCACAATGTTGTGCAAGCCACTAATGATGGTTGGAGAGAGCTGCAAGGAAGGCAGGCAAGGCAGGTCAGCACAAAGGAAAAGAAAAACTAGAAAAAAGACCCCCTAGAAAAAAAAAACTTCTGAGTGTGGTGCTTGGCTCTTGGGAAGCTGTAGCACTTAGCTCCTTTATTTGGATAGCCATCTTCAGAGCTGCACCACACTGGAAACAGTCACTGGGAAGTCTAACAACAGACTTCAACCAGAATGGACCTTCTCTGCAGTATTGCTATGCCCTGCAAGCCTTCCCTGCCAGTCCCTGGATGCACTTCCCTGGGGTGGGAGACCTGCTGTGACACACTCCTGGCACCAAAAAAACCTACTGAGCTTTTTGCCTTGGGGTAAGGTTGGTTGCTCAGCAAACGTGGCCTGACAACAAGAGGATTACATCACTCTAATCTTAAGGTACTAAGACATTTAAGCACAGTCCTTTATTCTGGCACAGCCTCCTGGAAGGCTTTGGGAAAGTTACCACATCTTCAAAAGTACTTGCACATCTGCCTTCCAGTGAAGTCACTGAGCCTCCAAAATGGAAGTCCCCTGGGTTCTGTTTTGACCCCAGGCTGTATGTCTCAGTTCCTGCCTAGAACAGAGAAATGCCTGCTGCAAGGGGCTCTGCTCTTTGGCTCAGCACAGCCTCTGCACAGCACCACTGAACTCATGACACAACCTGAAAACAACACTGTGAAGTCTGCACAGGCACGTGGGGCCAAGCACAGTAACTGATTGTTTTTGAAGAAATCCATGCAATCTTCCAATAAATGGATGTAGAGCAGACTTCCAAAGAAAAAATGAGCACCTGCTGCATACTGCAGAAGTGGTAGTGCACCAATGAAGTCATTGGCCATACGTGACTGAGAGGTGGGGGGAAGTGAAACAGAACTTACTGTCTGTTCCCTAAGTTTGTCATACAGAAACTCCAGGCGTTTATTTGCATCATCCAGTTTCCTCTTGGTTTGCTGCAAGACAAATAAATATATCAAAGGACAGCCATTTTTAGAATCCCAGACCAATCTGGTATCATTGCAAACAGATCCATGCAGCACATCAAATTCCTTTCTCAAGAACATTTCCCTAACACATCATTATTTGGAGTCTGTTCTGTATTCTTCTCCCCCGATTTTGCTAGGAAAGACCACATGACTGTAGTTCTCCACATGTAAACACTTCAGCTGTCTACAGAAAATAGGAAACAGTAGAGGTGCATCCCAAAAGCCAGTGGTCATTTGCAAACCCCACTGGCATAGCTGATAAGGAAAGTGATAGAATACTGAGTTGCAGTTTCCTATGGTTCACTGAAAAAGCATAGTGATAACTGGATAAAATTCTTACTCGAATGAAGCATCCAGCAACACTAGTGAGAGCTTAAGGGCACAAGCAGATTCTCTATTTCTAAGTGTGTACAACTCAGCCATCATTTATGGCAAATCCTGATTATATTTTTCCTCATGTGAATAGTAAAGCCAGCAGTTTTTCTAAGTTTTTAGTGTCAACAGAAAAACTAATAGCCTAACCCAATCTGTCCTTACAGACACTTTGTGCTTCCATGACTTATAAAGTCACTGATGTGCCTGGAATTATTTTGCCACCAAAGGCTCTTAAAATAACCCCAGTACATTTCACCTGGAGCTGCAGCTGCTGTAGAAATTAATTTTTATCCACTTATTTTTTTTAAACAACTTCTAAAATTGTAGATTTTATTCCAGAGTAATAAAACAGAAAGAAAGCATCAAGATTACAATTGCAGGAGCACAAAAAAGCTGCTGGTCAACAGCAGTAGAAATGGCATCAGTGTACAAGAGTAATGGAATTTCCTCCTAAACCAGTCTGTGCATCAATCCTTCTTCACCTAGGATAACTGCCATTTTCCCTGGCAAGTGAAAACATTTCTCTGGATTAAATAACTGCCTGGAGAAAAAAAAGCCTGTGGGAATGCTCTAGCTCAAGGGTGAAGACCAACTGCTGACTGCTTGCTGTGCTAGAAATTAGGGAAAGCTGTTCAGATGGCATAAAGGAGAACACAGCACATGGATCTTGGGCCACATGCAGAAAACTCCTCAGCAGCAGCTACATCATCAAGGAACTGAGATGGCTAAGAAAAAAGTACCCCAAGAGGAGCAGTAAGAAGCCCCAGGTTCATTTGGACTGCCTAACTCTCAGATGCATGACCATAGAACACTTGTTTCAAAACCCATGAAAAGGTTCACATGCTATGTTTATTGTACAGATGATCAGCTAGGACAGAGAGGAATAAATTGTGTCTAGGAAACAGCAAGCCATCTCTCCAGCCAAAGCAATTCAGCAGAAGTGCAAACTGGGTGTTTAGGTCCTGTTCCCATTCTCCCCTTTAGAAAGAAACAGCTGAGCAGTGCCTGTATTTGCTGTGACAACAACTGATGTGTACAGTCAGGGTGGTGTCTCTTGTCTCTGTGGGCTGAAACACTTTCACTGCCTAAAAAAAATCAGAGAGCCTTAACAAGAAGCAAGCAAAATGTGTTGGCAGAGCAGAAAAGCAACCCCCAGGTGCAGGTATGAGTGGAATGCTTTTTCCTTCTCTGTCTGCCTGGGGGAAAAGGGCACTTAGAGGAAGAAAAGGTCAAAGGGAATGCAGAATACACTATATATACATACAAACACACACACACACACACACACACACATGTATTCTACAGCCTTTAAATAAAGAATTTTGAGCAATTGTATGATACTGAACCAACAAGAGCACGAGTCTGTGCTGCTGACCAAGCAAATTCAGTGCACAAAGCCCTCTGCATGCCACCAGCACCACCTTTTAGTATGTGGCAGGCACGAGCTGAACAGTCAGCACCTGGGCTTTGTGGTGGCATGTTATTTACTGGCCATCGGAAATAAATGAGCAGCTTTGGGAGGGATAGCTCATTTACGAGGTACTGACTGCCATGGGAAATGTTTTTCCTATCCAGCTCCAGTGTTTGTGTTAAAGCTGTTAACCTTCCCTTTCCCAGGCAACTGTTGTTTCCCTTTGAAATGAGTTTGTTATCAGAAATCACCTACCGGATCAGAGGCAGACAGCAGGCACCTCTGGATGAGAGCTTCAAATGTAGTCTTCAGAATAAGGTGCTCCTCAGGGATGGGCTTCTTGGTGATCTTCTCTGTTGGCAGTGCCTGCACATGCTGAGCAACAGAGGACAGGTGAGGCTTTTCCAGGTCACTGTGCCCACATGTTGTTTTCAGCTAAACCGTGTGGCATTATTGCCTAGCTTGGCACAGCTCCTATTCATTCCCTGTGGGTGTGTGGAGGTGACTTTACCAGCACCTGCTGTTGCTCCCTCTGGGAAGCTGTGAAAGCTGCAGAAGGAAGCAGCTTGCTGGCCCATACTGACTATAGGATTAGTGCCATCTAGGTGGAGATTACAGCAGCAAAATGCCAGCACGGTACAAAGCCAGTGCCTAGAAACTCCACAGTACACTTCGTGGCTACAAGAAAAGCCTGGACAGCAGGATCCTGCCTGGCAGGCTCTGCTGATGGACAAGCAAACCCATGCAGAGCTGGGGTTACCTTACCTGGATGGCGTTGCCGATCGGGGCCCCCGGGGCCCCCTCCGTGCTGGGTTTGGAAACAGTGGGTGGCATGGTGGATGGCCCCAGGGGCTGGGCAGCAGGCTGGAAGCCACCTTGCAGCACCATCTGCCCTGAAGGCAGGTGTGGAGGCTGGAAGCTGGGGGCATTGCTGGGTGGTGCTGGAGCCTGGGGCTGCTGCATCTGAGACTGCGGGTCCGCCAGCGGGTTCATGATGGGGGAGGTGATGGGGACCGGGGGCAGGAAGTTGTCAGGAACCTGGGGAAAAAAGCCAATTTATGTTGGTGTGGCTGCTGCAGGCATAGCACAACACCCAGCTCCTACAGACTTCCCAAACAGAATTGCACTCTGGCTGACCAAACCCATCCCTCTGGATGCACACTAAGTGCCTTGGTACAGCCCAGCCTGCCCCTGGCCACAAGAGCCGAGTGCAGCCACCTCGAATCAGAGCCACTCTCCCTCCAAACCACAGGTTTGACAGACCAGCACTATAAGCAGAGAAAACTAACCCACACCTACATCTATTCTTACTATTGGGTCATTATATTTAGACTTTTGTGTCTCATTTTCAAGGGTGTATTTTTGTCCATGCAGTACAGTACGTAGGTCACAGCCAGCAACATGCCCCAGTAAAGCTTCTGAAAGCCCTTCAAGCTTCTGGCACACAGGTCTGCACTAAGGCAGATTACCAGGGCATTTCAGATTCATCCTTGATCATCTGCCAGTCTTAACACAGGGGTGTTTTATAAATATTTGGTAGAGAGAAGAAACAACAAAATGAGCTACTGGCCTCTGCTACATAACATGCAGGAATCAAAACAGAAAGGGCTTCCATGGGAATGTGTACATTTCTTCTGGTGTGCATGGAAAAAAAAAAAGGAAGATTGCAGAACCCTGAATGAATGATGTTAGAATTGAGCTAGTGGTTTGAGATAGGAAAAAAAAATTCCCAATCCAGCAACAAAGTCAATTATAAAAAAAAATTAATCACAGCAATAAACTTTTGAGTGGTGAGTAAGTTTATACTTAGAAGGAAAACAGCTGAAAATTATGGCTTGAAATGCCAGATATTTCTTCTCTTTTATAACAGTCCATGTGGTGAGTCATTTCATAACATCCTAAACCACCCCTCAGACACTGGACAGAAGGGAAACAAACATAGAAACATGACTGACAGATCTGTTAAATACTGAAAAGGGAATGCAACAAACACATTCCTCATTTAGAAGGAGCCAACCCGCAAGCCTTGGCTATGGCAGAAATTCTGGCTGTGACACACACACAACAGAAGTAGCAAGAGCCCCATGTGCAGAAGGCTGCTTCTTGAGCTCTCTGCTCCAGCAGTTATTCTGACACAAAGAGCTCTCTACCCAGCCTCCAAAAGCTTCTTCACCTTGAACTGCAGAGACCAAAAGCCAAAGGGTAAAGAACACTTCTGTCTTTGCCTTCACCCAGACCTTATCTTGGCTGCTCTAATGTTTTGTTCTCCCCACACTTTACATGCTCCAGACTAATTCTTGCCTCCCAGGGTCAGAGTGGTAAATAACTGCTGTGGAGATTCTCCAGGCTACAGCAGCACCAGGGGATGAAAAGGCTTGCTCTGCTCTGTGCCAAGTGTTCCTAGTTATCCTGCCCTGCTGCAATTTAAATCCATTTTGCAAAACTACATTATCTCCATCATGGAAATTGTCTTGCTCTCAACAGATCTCTCAGGGTCAGACCCTTAATCAGGATAAATTGCTTTTGGCTCCAGCAATGTCAATAATCTGTAACAATTTGCACAGCCCCCTTATTTTGCCTAAGTATTATCTCCTGCAAAACTGCTGCTTTACTGCAGATGAAAACAGTTGGAAGTATTTGCTTCAAACCACAAACAATGTTGTTATTAACAACCACAACTTCAGCAAAAACCCACCATCTCTTTAGAGGCTAAGACATTTTGAGAGGGATAATGCATATTAGAGAGAGAGAAAGGCCATTTCTGCTCATGAGATGCAGCTTTTGTTTGTTGCTAACCCTTCTCTTCCCTTCTCCTGCCAACAAGTTTCCCAGCAGCAGCTTAAACTATTGTTTTTCAAGGGATGAGCACTCAGTTGTGTTGAGGTAGGACTTCCTAGAGTACCTTCTTCTTCTTGGCAGCTCTGTTGAGGGTGGGAGGGTCATTCCAGCCGTTCTGAGGCCCTGAGACAGAAAGAAAACAGAGACTGTTAAGTACCTGGGAAGAAGGCAGTGATGCTTTCTTAAACTCAGCTGATCCATGCCATGCTCTGCTGGCAGAGCCTGCCCTGACCTGCCTGTTCCTCTGCCCTTCCCTGAGGGCCAGAACATCTCCTGTGCCAGCCAGAGCCTCCCAACACCCCGGCCATCAGACCCTTTGGGCTCCACACCCACTGGGCAAAGTTCGGGATCTTGACCAACTGTTCCCAACCTAATAACCTAATAATTAACTTTGTCTTCTCTTGCAGGAAAAAAGAGCTTTGAGCAGACATGCCTTTGAAGAGGGCCTACCATGCCCCAAAAAGCTCTGCTGCATAGACGGTGTATGTGAAGAGAGCTTATCCACAACATCACGTGAAGTTCCCCAGCCACACCACACAAAACACCACACAAAAAGAAGAGGCATAAGAGGCCTTAAGCATTTCAGGCCAGGTTCACCCAGTCACCTTGGAAACACAAAAAAGCCATAAACCCAGCTTTCCCCTGACAGCTACAGCATGGTTTTGGGTGCTTTGCATCCCTGAATCAGAGCAGAGCTGCTTGAGCAAGGTGGAAAAATCTGGCTGTCTGTACCAGGGGTGATCTGTTTGCAACTGGAAGCACAGAGGGTCTGAGCAGATTCACTCCCAGTCTGGGGTGCTGCTCTGCACCAAACCTTCTGCTCTCCCAAGAAACCAAGCCCCCTGCAGCTGTGAGATTTGCACCCCAAAGCTCCCATCAGCATAGTAGGAAGAGCTGCCCACCTCCTCATGGAGAATGTGGAATTGGGCCCATGGCATTAGCACAGCTGCCCCAAATAACCAGGATTTATTGCACAAAGCCACAAAAAGCCAACAAAACCAAATCCCTGCTCAATGGACTTTTTCACCACAGTGTTTTTCACTCAGCAGATGATGAATTTACCTTAGACAGCACAAATGAATATTACTGCAGAATTTGCTCAATTTATCTGAAATTTCATTTGTTCCCAGGCTTTTGTCAAGCAAATTCCACATCCAGAGCATGTTAAAGGGGTAAATGAAAAACTATTCAAAACCCCTTTCACATTTGCTTTCTCTTTAACCAAAGGCAGTGCCATCTCCTGGCAGCCTCCTCTATACCTCCCTATCTAGAAAATCCCAGAGTACTTCAGATACAGGGAGTCTAACTGATAGGAATAGGATGTATTTCCTGGAATAATTTGTATTAAAAAGGAAAATATTTTAAAAATATTTGTTTCTGTGGTTAAAAACTCCAGATAAATTGTTATTGGTTTCAATTAAGGAATTAAATATCAATTTGATTAAAGTCTAATTGGCAAACAGCATCACACTTAATGTTCTGTAAAGAACATTTGCATAATTGATGTCCGTTCAATTAATTTCATGTAGTGGCTGTAATTATTTTCAGGTTAGGTGGTACCTAGTTCACCTGCGAAGGGAGAGGCCTGGTCTTGAGATGGTAGACTTTCTGCAGACAAAATGCAAAGATGACTAAAAAAAAAAAAAATTTCTTCAAAAATAATAAAGCAGTTGGCCTTTAATTTTTGACCAGCAATTTAGTTTCACAACATGCATCAGCAGAAAAAAACACCTGACCAAATTGCAATGCCAGCCTGGAGACAAGTAATTTGTTCAAACCTCCCACGGAATTGCTTTTATCCACCTTCCCCCACAACTAAGCCTGTTGCTCTTTCCACGCAGTAAATCAGTGTTTTCAGTTGTTTGTAACAAATGTTGCAGCGTTCTGGCCTTTTTTCTTCTCTCTTCTGATGCTCTCATTTTTTATTCCAGTGCAGCACACAGATCATTACTCTTAGCCACAATCTTCTCAATATCATTTTACCATTCCAGAAAGCTTTTCAAGAGCTGCTTGAAGTACCTGACTTTAAGATGGATTTCCCAAGTATTTTGTCAAACCAAGGCATGCTCTAAACTGCATGCAGCCCAACAACACAAGTATGTTCACACATCAGCTTTACACTCACATGAAGACACTGCTTGCTCAGACTGAGCAACAAACCCAAATAGCAAAATGTAGCCAGTAAAGCCCTCACCATTCCAAAGAGGAAAGGAGCACTGGGGAGGAGATAACTCCTTCCCTGGGGTTGGTCTGCTCATACTTGTGGTGAAAACCCTTCCCTTAGCTCAGGATTGGTCTACTGCATTTTCAAACAAGATTCAAGATGCTGAAAATTAGAACTACCTTGAAAGTACGTTCTAAGATCTAACACAAAACAAAGTGAAAGGGGTTGAATACAAAATTAAATGTGGGCTTTTCTTGCTCACAGAAGCTTCAAGCACAGCTTAACATACTGATGTTATGTGCCTTTGCAAAAACCAGAAAATATTTACGGAACTCTTCCTTTTTACAAGCATCTTTAAATCCAAGCCAGTTCAAAGATCAGGTGCTTGTGAAGAGTTCAGATCTGAGATTTTTTTTTTCCTTCCTCCCTTATTCCTGCTTTTAAATGAGTCACAAATGCAAAGTGAAGCATGATGTTCCCAGATAAGATCATCACCACACACAAAAGCACACCACTTTGTTGCCAGGATCAGCATCACTGCACCAGAACTCTCAGAGTTACAGGTGAGATCTACTTCTGGCTGCAGATCTCAGTGGTTCTACAGGATCTCATGCCAAGGCATCCCCCACTAGGCAGTGCAGCTGCTCAGAAAATGTGGTGGTGGTTAAGCACATTAAGCATGTACACTGTCATTGCTGCACTTAGAAAACAAGGTTTTTTCATTCTTGTTTTCTGAAAGGTCTAATCTAAACACTGGAAGAGAACAGAGTGTGCTCTTCAGACACACTTCATCTTTTTTCCACAGTTCTCCAGCTGCAATCATCACTTGTGTGTAGGCATGAGCCATCCTGGGCTCAGCACCTCACCATGCCCTGCAGTCCACCCCTGCATTTCAGCCTAAGGCTGCAGAAATCAGAGAGGATGCCCGAGTTTGGTTCCTGAAGGTCTGACACTTTGTACTGGCTACCCTGCTCACAACAGCTGCTGAGAAAAACAGAAGCAAGCACTGATAGTTCTAAGAAAGTTTGGTAAAAAACCTAATACAAACAACTTTTAACTCTAAAAAGAGCTTCACCCACTCCCAGCATGCCATGTGGACTATGTCACGTCACTGCAAGAAACTCAGCAAGTGGCAGACCTGAGGTGCCTGCCAGTGATGCAAGTTAAGCAGTAAAATGGATAAGAAAGAACAATTTTCTTATTCCTTGCATTTATTTGGAGGTGCAGAAGCTATGCTGTCTGCATTATAATGTGCTGCTTGACATTCCAAGAACCCTATCCAACACCTCTCCCTCCATCCAATTTAATAAATCCTCTGGCTTAGAGATTCAAGTTTGACATGCCCTGTAACGTAGGGTCAGGAGAGATCACACTACAGCACCTCTGAAAACAGAAAGGACACCAAATCTGGCTTCATGGTGGATGGAAAAGTTGCCATTTCTCCCCTTGCAACTCTGGCAGTCCTACACCAGTCCTATTTTTTGACATAGCAAAAGACCACTTTTCCCCCAAACACAAGGGGGTATGTGAGCTGCCAGCCTCAAGGACACCAGCAGGAGCACCTACTCATAGGATTCATGCTGCCAATGACAAAATGCCTTTTTTGCACTGCATCACCCCTAACAGACCCCCTAACAGAGAGGGAATGACAGTGGGCACATTAGGGTCTGTCAGTGAAACAAACATCCCCAAAACATCCCTCAAATCTTGCCCAGTATTCCCTGTACCCTCTGCTTCCCAGATCTGCTCCTTGACTCTGCAGCTGGACCACCTGGAGGTGAAGGGTGTTCATGAGCAGGTTTAGAAAAGGACTGCTTGATTCTTCCTGCACTGTCTGACATGCAAAACTGCTGTTTCACAGGCTGCTAAGTGAAGGCACAGGTTTGTCATGGCAGGCAAGGTCACTGTCCCACAGCCGTGACACCCAGGCAGTCACAAGCAGCATGGAGCCCCACCTCAGCGAGTGCTCTCACCAAGCATGCTCCAACATGCTCCCAAGTGTCAGCCACACACACATGCTTTTAACTGACATTCAGGGAAGAGACATGTAAAAGCATTTCTAAATCATTTCTGATTATCTTTTAAGGCATTCATAACCTCAGTAAATCCCATCACAATAAGAGGTTAGGGAAAAAATAATAAAAGAGAGCTGATGCTATGGGAAATGCTGTTTAAATTAAATATGCTGCCAATCCAGGTTTAAAAGGCTGCTCAAGAATCAGGGACATGAGTCAATCATATCTGCAAAATCATTCAGCAAGGAGAATCGGGATTATCTTGTCTGCAGCGATTAGGAAAACTTGCTCATTTTTGTACTCTGCTCTCCAGTCACACTGCAGGCTCTGACACCAATGTTGAAACTGAGCCATGATCCCTCCATGGCATACAACAGCCTCATAAGAGGCCTGTTGTAGCATCCTGTCTTGGGCAAGACAAAAGCTCTGTGACAGCGACAATGTCTGGCTCCCAGGAGAAAGGTGACTGCTCATGCTGCTGTGCACCAACCCAGCCCTCTCACAGATGCACAGGGGTGATGTGGTTTAGAAATGCTTTCAACTGATCTCTAAGCAAAAGCAAACTTTTTACAGAGCATTCACAAGGAAAGAAGTGCATATTTAACTGAGTGGGTGAAGACCAAACCCCTCCCTCCTCCCTGCCTGCCCCCTGTCCAAGCGCAGACCTGTTCTCTGGGATGCAGGAAGATCACTGGTTGCAGGCAGAGTACCTGTTGGTCCAGTAGGTAATGCATAAGCCACAGAAGTTGCTGGAAGTCCTGGCCTGCCATGCTGAAAGGATGTGCCAGCAGGAGGAACAGGGAAGGAAGAGATGGGATTCAGGCTCGTTGGGGAGGGCTGAGGCTGCCCGGGGTACAGCGGGGAGGGCACGGAGTGGGCAGGGGCAGAGGGCACGTAGGAGGGGGTGGTGTTAGGGGCAGGGCTGGGGTAGGAGGCTGAAGCAGGGGCAGCAATAGGCTGCTGAGGCTGATAGAGAGCTGGTCCCCCAGTTCCAGAGGAGTACTGCTGTGTGGCCTGATATGCTACAAACAGGGAGAAAAAACAGTCAGTGAGTTCACAACAGAGCAGCAGGCTTCATCTGCCTCTGCTTCCTTCTTTGCTTGACTCTCCCCTCTTCATGCCCCTACCCCCCAAAACAACTTACCTGCCCAGCCAAATCCTGGCTCCCACAACTCTGTCTGCACTTGCAGGACTGCTCAAATCCCCAGCCTGTCACTGGGAGCAGGGAGGCACAGAGAGGATGGCCTTGGCTCAAAGGACTGCTGCTCCTCCACACAAACCCTCCAGCCCAGAGCCACAGTGCTGCTTGGGGTGGGGCTGAATACACAGACACTGCTGCCTTCTGCACCACTGCAATCCTCACAGGGGCTCTCAGAGAAAGGAAAGCCCTGTCCCAAGATTTTCACAAAGGGAAAACTTAGGCCAAGGAAACGAATACAGACTCTGGAAGGCAATGTAAACTCACAGCCTTTCACTGTGGGTCCTGCAGCCTACTTGCACTGCCTCTGCCCATCTGTGGCCATTTTTCCTCTCTCATGCCAGTACTTTCAGTCCTTGCTTCAAGTGAGACAAGGCTCTGCCCCCTTCTTCACTCACCTGTACTAATTTCTTCATCCCCTCTCCCATTCTCATGCAGCCCCAATGAGAAATGGATAGCCCAGCTGTGTCTCTCTCTACCAGGTCTGTGCTGCTTTCCCAGGACTCAGACTTTGGAGTCTCTGACCCTAGCACAACCCTGGGCCAGGCCAGCTGAGCAGTGAGTCTGAGAGCTGTGGGTAGACACCCCAGCAGAGGAGGAATGTTCGACAGAGGGTGTCTGAAACCTGGACTCCACCAAGAAATAACAACTCTCAGATGTCACCTCACCTTTCTCCCTACCCTGCAAGAACTCTGGGAGTGGCTTGGTCTGAACACTCCCAACCACAGGGAGAGGACTGGTTATCCCTGAGTTAAGGCTGGCCCACCTGGGTGGGAGGCTGCTGCTACTCACTCTGTGGGTACACTGGCCGTGTTCCTGCTTGCGGGTACATGCTGTAGTTGGAAGATGTGGCTTGCTGTGGTGGCATGCTGGGGCCAACAGCTCCTGGCATAATAAACCCTGGAGGAGGTGGGTTGTCCCCCTGTCAAAAAACAAAAAATTACAGGAAAACTGGTTGGGAGACACAGGATTTAATCAGTAATGGTAATGCAGTGCTGAAGAAGAACTGCAGCAAAATGATGAGTTCACATTTCAAGGCCTGAAACCATATTCCCTGGAAGAAGGGAATCACCAGTACAGGGGCAAATGCCTCCAACCACCCCAGTGCCTTAGGGTGCCCAGCACAGCACTGAAAGCACAGCTGGATGTGCAGTGACTTCAGGAGCAAGCAGAGCAGCACACATCTGCCTGCACAAGGAAGAGCTCCCTGCCAATGCTGCCTGGTGTTCAGGCAGCCCGAGAGCACCCTGCCATCTTTAAACTAAACTTAAATGGTAACTCTGAAGCTTCTAATCTCCATGGAAAAGGGGAAAAGGAAAAATCACACTTCAAATATTCCAGTGTGGGGCAAGGGTTGGGGAGACTCGGGTCACGCTGAGCTCCCACTCAAGACTTTCCAGTGCCAGGGCATTGGTGAAAAAAAAAGTAAAAAAAGTAAGGAGATGCAGAGGAGTAAAACCAGAGCACACATGGAAGCTGCTCTGCCCATCTATCTGTACCAGACTGTGCCAAGCATTCAGATTACACCAGGGGACACACTGGGGTGGAGCAGAGGCTCAGAGAGGAATAATGAAGGTTATACCTGTGTGTCAGAGGGACAGCCTGCAGGAGGATGGCTGGGAAGGGCAGTAGGAGTTTTGTTACTCCAGGTAGTGACAGTAGGGGCAATTCTAACCTGAATCGAACAAAGAAATACCAATCATGGAAAACAAAACAATAAAAAGGTTTAAAGGGTTTCACAAAACAAGATGCAAAGAAGTGAACACAAGAAGGTTTGCATGCTGGCACTTGTAACAGCCATAAAATCTCAGAGGAAGAAGGGAATAGCATTCAAACAGACAAAAATCACTGTGCACTGGAGCCAAAGTGAATTGCAGAGTGCAGACAAAGCACAGTGTTGCAGTTGCAATAGGCTGTGGAGCAAGTGCTGCAGTGTTATGTGTGCCAGTCAGCCAGGTCTCCATCTTTCATCACATTTTCCTACTGCAGAAGTCCCCCCAACCACTGGTCCATGACAGTGAGCATCATCAACCACAGCTGCAAGCCCCAGGTTCCATGTTAAATTCAAACATATGTCTCACACATGAGGAGTCTGTACAAATTGAGCTTCAGATGAATCAAAAAAGGTTAAAATATAATTTTAAAAGATTAAAAACTAATATTAAGCTCTTGCACATGCACAAATACATGTCTTAATGAAAATTGCTTCCTAGCCAGTCTCCCATAGCTCCTTTCCTCCATCTTCCTTCTTTGTCATTCCAAATGCCTTCAATTCCATACAACCACTCCTACCTTTCTGATGGGATAGAAACCAAGAACTTCCTGTGCCTGGAACATGCCTGAGCAAGGAGCTGGATGCTGCTTAATGCAGGACACATGGCTGGGGTTCAAGGATATAAGCAGAGGGAAGGCTGTGACCCTGCAGCCCTGGCTGGCTCAGCTGGCTTCAGTCTATGTGTCTCTAACCCCACACAGTGCTAAGCTAATGGTGCAGTCAGATGTACAACAGCCACTGCTAATGCCTGCATAACTCATCACCAGAGTATCTAAAATACTTTTCTCCCCATGTCACGCCTGGCTTACTCAGATGAAAAAGAGGGTTCAACAAAACTATGCTGAAAGGAATCCAAGTGTTAAGAACATGTTACTGTTTGGGACAGCAGTTAAACAAAGGCTGCCTCAAGCTTGAACAAGTCCTATACAAAGCAAGCATCCTAATACACAAACATGTAATTTCTCTCCATTCTGGTTCATCAGCTGGGAACCTTTCTGACTGATACCTGCCCCCTTCAAACCCCTCGTGCTGAGGATGAACACTGGGGTTGTAACTCCCAGTGAACTCATGGGGTTATGATACACCCAGGCTTTAATTAATGAGCAAGGCTTGCTGAAATAACTGCTTGAGACATTTCAGAAACAGTGGGAGAAAGAGGGAACTCTGGTTTAAAAAAGCATTGCTCATATCTCAACATATAGAGGAAAGCTGCTATTCTCCAGAGCCAAACAGGACACACAGAGCTTCACTTCTCAAGGCAACTCATTGGTTACAAGGAAGAAAGCCAAAGACACAGACAGCAGAGTAGACTTGATTATTAATGAGGATGCATTTAAAATCATATGCAATGGGGTTAGCAAGGTAAATCCCGGATGAAGGCTTTGTCTCTTCTGCAATCTACCATGCTAATACCCTGGAGAGAAGGCAGAGACACACTACTGCTGACATCAAAAATGCCCAATTCCCTCCCCAACCTTTCATCCCTTCTTTCTTCCTGCCCTGGTTTTTCTGGCAGGCAGTGCTTGGAGGCAGCACAAACAGATACCTCTGCTTGTGCCAATCTCTGCCTAAGGAGAACAGCCACAGCCCTAAAAAAGCTCTGCTCTCAGAAAAGCCCAGAGCACCTTTAGAGGGGGGCCAGATGAACTGCAGTGCTGTGCTGAGGGATTAAGAGTCCTGGCAGTGCTCTCTAAGCATACACACAGCCAGGGCTGCCCAACACACCACACTGCCCTGATGGCCAGTGTGTTCTGCTGCAGTGTCATCCTCAGGTTAGAGGTAAAACCAGAGAATTTCCCTTCCCTATTTCTTCTCTTCCTCCCTGCACAGCTCCCTTATGTCTCATACTCACCTGGTCTTTCTTGTAGCAGACACTCTCAGCCTCCCCACCAGCCCACACCCTCTTACACCTGGCTGGGAAGGTGTTTTCACATCAGGCTGGACCCACAGCTGCAGAAAAATGCCCTCAGTTTGCTATAACCAGTGCTTAGCAACTTCTGCAGCCAAAATCAGAGCTAGGGATGGGAATAATCTGCCCCAAAGGAGATTGGAGAGCAGCATGAGCAAGCTCCAAGGCTTGCAGGGATGGGACAACATCAGGGACTGTGAGAGGTAGCAAACAGAACTCCTGCAGTGCTCTCCCACACAACTGTTCTTGGCACTGAAGCACATTTTCAAACAAAGGGGGAAACACCTAGTCTTCAGAAGCAGGCTACTTGACAAGGTGTTTAAAGGATGTTTCCAGGTGAGGAATAAATGAGGCATCTGTACTGACTGAAAGGAAGCACCAATGACCTTCACCACAAGGCTCTCAGTAGAGGATGGTCACACAGCCACAGATCAAGAGAAAGGAAAAAAATTATTACATCCATCACTCTGCAAAACTCAAGCACCATGTCCCTCCCTTATTGCCAAAGGCCATTTACCTGCTGGTAATACTGCTGGGCTGGAGCCTGGGGCGCCTGCATCCGTCCAGCCACGGGGCCAGCTCGCCCTTTGGGCATGGGTTCTCTCTCATATTGTCCCTTGAGGCCATCCTGTCCCACTGGGAGCTCCCCCTGGGCTCTGCACAGCCTGTCCCGTAGCTGCACGATGTTTGGCTGCAATCAGAAAAGGACAGTGAAGGGAGCTGAGATGCACTGCCTGGCACCCAGTGCATCACACCAAGAGGCTGAGTGGCCACTCACTGATGAGCTCTCTCTGAGCCTGCTTTATTTCATTGGAATAAGTCTTTTCTGCATGAGGCCATTGGAACTGCCTTACAACTGCCTCATTCTCAAACTAGCTGTCTACAAATATCAGCTGATGGAAGATGGGAAGTCAGAAGAGAACAACTAAATGTTAATGTAATTTCATCTGCCTTATCTGGCTTACAGGAGGGACACCCTTTGGCAGTCATTGGCTGCAGGCACAAGGGTGTGAAACCAAGAGGGAGCAGAAGTTTGCTGCCTGCCAGCTCAGCAAGGCCAGTGCAGGGTGAGTGGAACAGCCTGACTGTCACATTCCGAGGCACACGTCAAGTGGCAGTTCTGATGCTGAACTGTGCCAGAGCTCTGCCTGAAGCACACCTGCTCACAGACAGAGAGGGAGCAAAGAACCTCAAGGCCCCATACCTGGTTGGTGTTGGCAGGGAGGAAGGTGAGTGCTGCAGCCAGGCTTCCCTGAGCAGCCAGGAGGTTGGCATATTGGCTCATCTTCTCAGCCAAAAGGGTACCCATGGCGTTCGGGTCCACAGCCTGCGTGAGCTGCACGGCTTTGCGTAGGATCACGACTTTCTCTATTAAATCCTGGAAGATCAGGAGGGGAAAAACCCACCCACAAGTGAAAATAACAAAGTGAAGTAGGCCCTGGCTTAAGACTGTCCCTGGCAGGACCCCTCTCACCCAGTGGGGAGTGCAAGCCAAGTGCACGTTTCCCAAACAGCCACATCAGCACCAAAGGCACAGCTGCTCCCAGAGGATGGAACAGCAGCCACCCACCAAGCAGCTTCTAACAGCAGAGCCAGAAGAGTTCAAAAGAACTGCTTTTACCAGCAGGATTTCAGGGCTCTGTCAGCACTGAGCATCTCCATCAAGTGGATACTTTCATAAAATTATCTGGCAACAGCCTCAGAGAAAACAGACAACATCACACCTGTCACTATTACTGCTGCACATCCATTTACAGGGTTTTATTAAGACAGTTCTTATCCATCTTAAAAGGATCTAAAAACTCCCTTGGAAGAGTTATCTGTAGTTTCCTGGTTGTTACAGCAAAATGGTTTTCCTGATATTCACCAGAAATACTCTATATCTTGCCTTCCTTGCACATTCCCCAGTACCAGAGCTGGTCTTGGTTGGGTTTCCTTCTAGTCCTAAATTATAGGAACATTTTCTGTTAGGTTTTCTTATGTTTTTCTTACTGTATTTATACTGAAGGATACAAAAAATATTCATTTTCCAAAATTAAAGCCCTTTTAAAAATCTTACAAGGGATCTAATGAGAGGGTACCACAAAAAGATTTTAACCATACATTACTAATAAAGGTTGTTTTCTGTTTGCTTATCCCTATAAATCAGCACTTCAAAAAAGACAAGTGAAAAAAACCGCAAAGCAACAGCTTCTATTGCCACAATCATAGTAAACAAGCCACTAAATTAGGACTTCAACAATATTTTCCAATTTTACAGCCTGAGAGACCAAAGCTGTGCAATCAAAATGCAAATTTAAACTGAAGGTAAATCTGTAAATAAAGCCCTCAAAAATCAAATTATTTTGATAATTCAGAGAGTTAATGACATGAAGCAAAACTCAGATACACATCAGTTCCTTCAATTAACTAAAGAGTCTCACAGTATTGTCAAGTAAGTACTTTCTAACTGGTTCTTCAAAGGCCATAAACACATGGAAGAAACTAACATTGTATTATAAAATAAATTATTCCATTACTGCTTCATTCCACTCATCAACCTTATTCCCTCAAGGTATCTACTATAAGCAATGTATTTCACTGCTGGAAAGCAAACTTCGTAAACCCCTAGGGAAAATTCTCGTGAGAACCTTCCTACAACTGCCTCTCCAGATTTAAATCTAACTCTGTTGATTTCTTCTCCTGACCTTCCAAAAGTAAAAAAGTTCAAGTATTTCCTATCCACAAAAGATGCAAGCACTGAAAGACCCTTCTTTACCAAAACACTAAGTACTACAATTGTTTTACACAAGAAGTGTATTAGTATCACTAATGTGGTACTAATACACTTCTTGTGTAAAACAATTGCAGTACTAATGCGGTACTAATACCACAGTGTATTAGCACTCAAACAACAAGGCAAGCACAAGGGCCGCTGTACTTCCAACACATTTTCCAGTATCATATTTGTATGTTATTTTTCCAGAAAGGAAAGGCTTGCATCCTGATGCATCAGACAGCAAAGCTCTACACTAGGTAATTCGATTTGAGGACCAAATGATTTCAGCCTGTTATTACCAACATAATTCTTAAAAGGATCACCAACCTGAAGGGACAAGGGGCTGTTTCCATCCTGAACTTTGGTCCAACAAGCAACAAGTTTATCCACGTTGCCAGCACAAATGTAACAGAGGCAAGCTTGTGTCTGTAGAACGCTGTCCCCCTCATTCTCCAGCCTGCTACCCAGGAGATCTAGATAAAATAAGAAGAAAGATGCTGGTAAATCACTCTGGGTATCTCTCCCCACCACTGCTGAAGCAACTGGCCAAGGAACTGTGAGCAAAGCCATGCTGCTGCTCCAGAATTATCCAGCCTGTGAAGTGTCCTTACCACAAAGGGCTGTAAACTCATCTGGCCTGGCATAAGTGAGCACAGCAGCCAATGCCTCTCTCCAATTCTGCAGGTCACAAGACTGCACAATCTCTTTCCAGTTCTTTGTCACAACTGCAGTGATGAGCTAGAGAAGGAGAGAGATCATAGTTAGGATTTGTTAAGATTTCCTCTGTATAATACACAGGATAATTTGGATCTTTGGATCTGCTCCAGTGTATTCATTCCCACTGCCTCCAGGGTCACAGCAGGTACTGCATTGCAGTTCAACAGCTGCACAAGAGCACATCTTACTTAAAAAGGAAAAAAAATCACAAAACAAGCTCAGAGAGCACAGCAGCCAATTATTTTTGCTAAAAAAATAAACAAGAAAAGAATACACAAATCTCCACAAGCTGTTGGCAGCTTGTTTTCAGCACTATTTTTGCAAAGATAACCTACCAAGTATTTAGCTATAAAGTCTTCTACACAATGCCCAGGGAGATGTATGAATTTTGTTTGTCAAACTGTTTCATTCGGCTTTAAGCTCTCAGTGTCTAGCTGACCAGCAAGGGGCAGTTGAAAAGGCTGCATAAAGAAAGCAGCAAGTTGGCAGCAATATAATTACTGAGCTGGCTGTAGTAACCCTACACTGGCTGCCTCTGCAGAGCCCTCAGAATGAAACTCCAGTTTCTCCCTTCTAAAACTACCTCCAGTTATTTTGCTTTGGACAAAAGACAGACTTGGCAATTGTGCTGCTCTAGAGTGAACAAAGCCCTTCTCATGCCAAGACTTCAAGCTCAGAAAAAGATGAACAAGCAGTATGTGTGCAGTTTGGGACCAGAAGAGAAAAAACACACCTGAACAACAAATGCAACATCCTAACTACAAGGTCAATGTTTACTTGTCAGCATAGGTACAAGGTAACTGGTCAGCTCTTCATAAAAATACCATTTTCCAAAGGATGAACTACAGTGAAGAAATTCCTGTAAAAGCTGCCACCCTTGCTAAACCAACTCTTGTTTTAAAGCCACTTCTGTTTCAACCTCCTGTCACTACTTTCTCATATTGATAGTAAAAAAGAAAGATTTGCACATCCAGCATCTGCAACCCCTAGCATTGCAAAAAGCTGAAAATAACAATAACCAGTTGGCCATAACACATTGTCTCCTAGACAAAGGGTGATTAATCTACCCTGGGCATACTCTGCTCTCTCTTCTGAGCAAGCAGTAAAACAAAGCATCAGCAAAATCTGTCAAGACTGATCACGGGCAGAAATCAACATAATGCTGCTGGCCCTGAGCATGGGTCATGTGTGAAAAAACTGACAGAATAGCAGACTGAAATGTGCCCTTCTTAAGGCACTTGTCTTTATTGTTGACAATCCATTAGCGTATATGCAACTCAGAGACACTGGAGATGGGATAAAGAATACTCCTGTGTACTGATATTCAGGTGGTGTGCCTCTTCTCCCCTTATCAATGCATTAAAAAAGAGTAACAAAAATCCTTCTGCTCCAAGATCTTACTGACTTGAACACTTACTAACATCTGCTAGAAAAAAACCTATTAAATGGCAAGAAAACTTTTTAAGGTGAAAAAAGGAGTTGCCAAAGGCATGTGAGCATGTTACTTCTGACCTGCAAGCACATACCCTGGTGATTTTGCTCTGCATCTTGGCAAAGTACTTCTCCTGCGTCCGGGAGAGCAGCTCCTGCCCGCCGGCGATGGCCAGGATGATGGCATCAGCCATGCGGTTGTCGTGCAGGCACAGATCCACTGCACTTTCAAAGTTCCCTGTCAGCAGAGCCTGTGTGATCAGCCCATCCACATCTGCAACGAGACAGGGGTGCACTTCCAAATGCTGCCACAAAAGCCACTGAGAGATGCAGCAGCAGGTGACACTGTCTGACTGTACAAGGCTGGCACAGGTCTCTGCAAACCAGCCTGCTCCTAGCTGGGTACTTACAGGGGTGCTCACCTTCCCCTCCAGCCTCAAACACACATGGAGCACAGCCATGCCAAAGGACACTGTCAAGCATTACTTACCTTGTGACAGAGCAAGCTCCTAGAGTTCTAAGAGGCCCCTAAAACAACTATCTGAATAGTGCCATAAAAAGTCAAACCTCGACAGGGGTCAGTGGCTTTTTGTTATTCAAGATCCCCAGGGAGTTCCTGTAGAAACAGCACTTCATGCCTGACCAAGCGTAACTCCTTTTATCACTCAGAGCTGCATGACAGCAATGGGGTACACAAGTGCTGTATAACTTCCTTCCTTCCTTCAAAAAGTTATATCTTCAAGTGCCTTGAGACTGCATGAGAATGCAGTTAGAGGCAAGTAATTACAATCCTTCACAATCTCTGCAGAATTTGCCTTCTCACTGGAACACCAGTATCAACAGCAGTACTTAAAAATAACAGTACATACAATAAAATCAAGGGTTTTTTGTACCTCCACTAACAGAAATGTTAAATGTTGTCTTTGCAGATCCCAAATCTTCAGTTTCTTTTTTATGGTCCTTCAGCGTCTAAGAGAAAGCAAAACATAACTCTGAGATTATGTAAACACTTAGAAAATACACACCTTTTAAAACCATATGGCTCTTGCACTCCAAGTTAAATTTAGAATTTCAGACTACCAGTCAACTCAGAGACCACTAACTTAGAAGGGAAGGTTATCCCTGTGTGCCAGTTTGGGCAGAGGTAAAGCTACTTTTCTTCACAGCAGACAGTATGGGGCTGTGTGATTTGTCCTGGAAACAGTGTTGATAATACAGAGATATTGCTGCTTTTGCTGAGCAGCACTTGCACAGCACCAAGGCCTTCTCTGCTTCTCCTACGGCACCTCTGGTGAGAGAGTGGGGAGTGCATGGGAAGTTGGGATGAGACATAACCAGGACAGCTGATCCCAAACTGACTCAGGGGATATTCCAGGCCCAATAAGGGACATTCCAGGCCACATAACATCATGCTCAGCATAATATAAAGCTGGAGGAAGAAGGAGGGGGATGTTTGCAGTGATGGCATTTTTCTTCTCAAGTCACTGTTACATATGATGGAGCTCAGCTTTCTTAGGGATGCAAATCTGCCTGCTCATGGGAAGCAGTGAATTAATGCCTTGCTTTTCTTTCCTTTACCAATTAAAGTTCCTTTATCTCACAAGTACCAGCAGCCAGACACCTGGATCCTGGGTACCAACTTACATCTGTAGCCATATACACACAACCTGCTCCGAGCAAAGCTACAGCTACAATGAGAAAATCAGAATCCTTTTCTTTCCTTCTCTTTCAGCCTTAACCCCTACCAAGAACAGTCTACCATTAATGCTACCTAGGTTCCACTCTGCTCCACTTCAAATTTCAGCTCATCCTAGAAACTCTCTGCCCTAGATGTACACCCCAGTTTAATTAAGCAAATTACACATGAACACAAGCTTAATTTTTCAACACAGAAGTCCAATGTAGCACTCAGGACAGGAATGTTGAGTAGATAGAGGTTGCTTTTTCTGCAAAACTCCCCCAGAATATTAAGACAGAGACCACTTTGTGTGAGTACCTGGATTTTGAGATTTCAAACAAAACATTTCAATAATAAAAAATAGCATCAAAATAGAAGTCTCTTTTCACCACCCCTTTTCACACCACAGGCTAAGCAGAGTGCAGAACCTGACCCACCATCCACCTCCTCTGTCACAAGCCATTGCTCCAGTACATGAAGGGAGTTCAGGAACACCCTGCTTGTTCAGCTAAACTGAAGGACACAGCAGACCAAAGACATTAATTTGGAGGGGGAAGCAAGTCTGAAACAAACTTTATGTTTGGCTTGTGAAAAAGACACAGCATCTGGAAAATGGTTTTGTTGTCAGATAACTCTGGATGTGTGTCTGGTATCAGTTTGAGAGCATGTTGTGACTACCACAGGAATAATGTGCCCATCCAGTTCCTTTATGTATGTGACAGCATGCCCTGATGCATCACCAGCGGCTTCAGGCCAGACTCACAAATATTTAGGTAGGCTAAGGTCATGTTTGGCTGTGAATTCTCTCCTAGAAGAGACATTTGTGATGAGATATCCAATATCTTCATGACTGCATACAGCAAAACCCTTACACTGTCAGACACACAGACATCTGCCACTACAGAGTCTAAAGAACTAATGAGCAATCAAGCACCTAACCCAAGGAGAGCATCCTGGTTTCAGTGCCTTTAACAGGCTGTTTGTTATGTGGAGTCAAGTGCACCACCCCAACATGCATGAGCCTTAAACCCTGTCCTCATCTCCACAGAGAGCTGCAGACAGGCACCAAGCACAGGAAACACAGCCAAATTCTAATCCAAAAGGGAGACTGAGGGAATGGGGAAGAATGAAGTTGGCCTGTTCACACAGCAATACACTATCTTCAGTGCTAGTGACACCTCACAAGGCAGAGGCTGGGTCCTTAGTGCTAATTAGAGACCTGTCCTCATATGTAAAACACAGGACTGAAAACAATGCTATTCAAATAGTGTGTAAGATCCCAAATGATGACATGGTTGAGCACAAACTGCCTGCAATAAACATGGCTGAACATACTGCCTGAAGAAGATGAAATAAAAAAAACTCAGCAAGAGTCCAGTTTCACCATTATAAATAATTTTTAAAATTTCTGTATATCCTCAGCAGCAGGAAAAGCCAAGAAAATGAAATGCTGTTAAAAGGAAAAAAGTAAACACAGGGGAGGTCAGCAGGTTTAGTCTAGAGGGCAACAGATACCTCTCCCAAGAACTGTTCCTCTGTAGTCTGGCCTTCATCCCCCTCATTTGGCACAGATCCATCAGATTCTGTAGGAGCCTTCAGCAGAGAGAAGATGTCATAAAAATCCACCAGCAAGAGGCAGAAATACTTTGCATTGCAGAGTACAGTCACCTTTCCACCAACCAACAGTTAGAATCAGACCGAAAACCACAGAAACGCATTGGCAATATATGCTTGAGCCTCACAAACAGGGTAGAGGCCCTATTTCCTTGCTCTCTTGTCATTACACAGTATCTTGCGCTGTTTTCATCTTAGCTGCCTCAAAACATGCAACAAAAGTTTTTTTTTGACCATGAGGCAGCTACAGAAGACTCTCAGCTGTCTGTGGCACAAAAGCACTGCAATCCTGCTGCAGACTCAGACCACTGCAATTACAGTGTGGGCAGTGCCTGAACTGTAGTTACCACTCTTGTAAGAAAAGTTACAGGACCACACTCTCAGTCCTGCTTTCTTTAAAGCCTGATGAAGGTGCTGTTCTAGAAATCAGGTGCCAATAAGATCTCTTATTAAAATCTGTGACTGAGAGCCCTTCACTGGAAAAGGATGGGAACATCTGAGTGCAAAAGAAGTTTTTTTTTAAATAACACCTTCATCCTACTGAATGTAGAAACTTGCCACATGCTGGATTATTTGTGACTTACTTTGGAACAACTATCAAATGGAAAGAAAAATGATTCTTACTTTAAAAATTACCATGGCATTATGAAATTAACCACAGAGTTACATATATGTGTTTGCTTACCTCTCCCAAGACACCATCTGGAAGACCTTCTTTATTCAGAGCAGATGTGATCTAGAAAACAACAAATATTTAAGTAAGTACCCTTTTAAAGAAGCACCAAATTCTCAGATTGCAAAACTGGCACATGTAGCCACTACATTGCTTGCACAACAGTTAACATGAAATTAAACATTTTAACATGAAACTAAAGCCATTTCCTTTTCCAGCCTGGTGATGGATTTACTGCTAAGGTACCTGCACCCCAAGCTCTGATGGAAACAACAGCTACCCTACACATTTAAACCTTTAATTGTCAACTCAAGGGCCTCAAACCTCACTAGAGGTGCTGGAAACCACAGGAATAAAAGCAGTATCAGAACATGAAGGACAAAATCCTCTGTCTACTCTGGTCAGGGAAAATAAAGCAGTGACAATCCTTGTGCAACAGAAAGCCTGTCAGGAAGCTGTGGGTTCCTGACATCAGGCACTTGGTTGTGGGCTAGGGTTTTCCAAGGTAAAAAAAAAAAAAAAAAGAGTTAAAATGCCCAGCTTCTACTGCTTTGCAAAGCAAAACATGACTCCAGATTCAATTAGGGCTCTCAAAACCAGCAATTTTATGTACAGAGTTTCTATATTATTTCAGCATCAGGGAGTCTGGGTTTCACATTGCTCCTAAAATTATCTACCGCTTTTTGTATTGTAGGCTTTATTCTACCCTTGTAGACTGGTTTGTGTAAAGAGCTGAGCTCAGATTGCTGGAGACAGTTTTCTCTTTCTTTTTTAATCACTGGTTTACAATAAAAATGAGAAATCCGGGACTTGGCTTCCATGAGAATCACAGGTTTTAAGAATATAACCCATCCAACCCACGTTCTTAACAGCTTATTACAAGAAGCTGCAATCTGTGATCCATGTTTTTACTTTCCTAATGCTACCAATTTCATCTGGGTATCACAGACTTTTAGATGGGCTGTATTGTGCTGCTTATTGACACTGAAAAACACATGGAGTCACCTTTGTGGAACATTTTCAGAAAACAGCTACATAAAAACAGGACCCTGAAGCTCTTCCCATCTGTTTCCTAAATATTGAAATAATGGGATAGGCCCAGCATTCCAAGCCACCCAGTTCAGCTGTGCCCATTTTCCCAGCTTCTCCACATGCACAGGGCATATAAAACCAGAGCAAAAGCAAGCAGTGGGGTTTAATCTCATGAGGCCACTCTGCAGAACCACTACTAAATTTCAACTGGATTTTCTGACTGAGACCTGCTTTTCAAAAACAGGATTACCCTTACTGTGCTTGCCCGAATATTGCACGAATATTTAAAAGCTGAGGACAAACTGTTATCAAAACCATGATTTTTTTTCCATAATCATATTAATTTTGCCCTGAAAGGCATTTAATTTGTGAGCACAATACACTTTAATGGAGCCAATCTTTGAAAATAAAACATTAGTTTGATATAATGAAAATGAGTCAAATGTTAAAATCCACTGAAACAGAACTAAAGAAATACCAGATAGTTCCTGGGTAAACAACTGAAAGCAATAGAGCCAAAAGGCACAGCAGGTAATTCCCTGTAACACTGAGTAAAAGTCTTCCAGCTAGGAAGAAAGGTCTATAAAGATGTGCAAATTGCTTCCTGGTAATCCAAATTTTGCTTTTCCAAATATAACCACGTTTGACCTTTGGGCTTGTTTTACTTTCAAAAATGAATGGTATCTCCCACAGATAAAGACTGTCCATGTCTAGTTAATGAAAACTGCTTATTCTTCTACCAGAAAGCCTAAAAGCAGATCCCATTCCACAATGCTCGAGTAGAAGGATGTCACATAGCAAAGTTACATGAATAGCCTGAACCAGTAAATATCAAAGTTTCTTCATGAGTGGGAATTTCATATCAACAATGGACAGCCAGATGCAGACACACCTCTGAAGTCTGCTGCCTGCTCTGGCATTTCCACTGAACATCCATATTGCAAGAAGACACAACTAATGAGAAAACCCAACAGAGCAAACTGTTTTCAGTAAGAATTCTGAAATTAAATTCTGAAATTCAAAAGTTACTTATCTCATATATCGCACATTTACCTTCTTCCTCAGATCATCCTTCCGGTATCCTAAGAGCTCGAGGTATCTAACACGTGAATCTTCTTCAAAGTTCACCTTTAAAAAGTTAAAGACTATTTTGCAATTCACAATTTTTCATTTTCTCCCTGACTGGCACAAAATGACCCAGTGAGACTTACTCACCAGTAAACTGACTTTACCCAGTCAGTTTACTCTGAGTAGACTGAAGGCAATAATGAGAAATGCAAAAATCTTCAGTGACTTGGGCACCTGAGCAGGTGGGCAAGGCTTCCACCTGGTTATTGTAGGTGAACAATCTCTTTATCTGCTTCACTTGGAAACCTCTAAATGCTTAGTGTGAGCAGTGAAAGCCCATCTAAAGCTATCCCAAAGCTTTAATGCTTCTCATCAGCTCCCTGTACATATGTGTGCTGATGGGGAATATCAAAAACCATGGGATACCCTCACCCACACCTTTACTTTGCCACGATTCCTCACAAACCCCACAAACACCCCTGGTCCTGAGGACCCTCCTTCTTCTGGTGGGCCTCCTGCAGTGCCATGGCTTATGGGCACTATTCCCACAGCCTGCAGCTTTTAGCTCCCAGCACCCCTTCGGCTAAATGTGCAGAAGGAACCACCTCCTGGCACTCCTGAAGGGCTGTCACCCTGTTACCTTTAAGAAGGCCCACACATTCCTCTCAAAGTCAGCCAGGGCCATGTCGATTTTCTTCTGGCAGTAGCTGACAAAGCCCTGGGACTGCACAGCCTCCTGCAGCTGGTTTGAGCGGGCCAGGAACTCCTTCTCTGTGACAACCTGGCTCACGTAGACATGGGGATGCTGCTGCTGCTGCTCCATGCCCGGCTGCTGCGGAGGCTTGGAATTCTCAAATGTCACCAGCTTGCCTCCAAACTGGAATTGAAGCACACATACAGTATGTGAAAATACAAGTATACAGCAGGGGAGCATGTATGAAAATGTATTTTATGTAACATATATATAATTATTGTCCAATAATTGAACACTCCTGACATCTGCTCACTTATTTGTTTCCCCTCCATCCCATACTTCTATGCAAGTAAGGAGATTGTTGGATAAGTAGGTTCACATTTAATAAGATCTGTAAGCAGAACCATTCCTGTAGCTGGTTTTTTCTCAGACAAAAGACAGACCAGAAACTGAGACCAGCAACAGTGGAGTATCTCATGATATTGCAATGCAGTTGCCAAAGAAACTTTTACTCTACATCATTAAGTAAATGCTCAAGCATGATGTCTACCCTGCTCTTGCCAGGCTGCTTAGCAGTTGAAACTCTACTGAGAGATAGGCAGTAAGTTGTGACAACATTTGAAGAGGTAAAATCAAAACAAGAAAATAATTAGGAGAGGCTTATATTATGTCATTCTATAACTCAAAGTGAATTTACACAGGCGAGTCCAGTAAAACCTGCATTGGAAAAAAGTCTAGTCAGGGAAAAGACTTACACCTGACTCCTAGGAAACCAGGACAAATAAGGGAATAAACAACATCATAAAATAACACATCAGTCAGTGGCTAGGCAACATCTCTTTGACAGGAGAAAATTGCATTTAATTTGTGCATCAGATGATGAATAAACAGATATACGATGCTGAAAATTGCAGCAGAGAAATCAAATTCAAATGGACAGGCTACAGTCTCCAGAAGTTTCCAAATAAACAGCCTGTGGGTTTAGAAAGTAAGCCAAAAGTGGAACCAAGGAACAAAAAAGCTGAGCTTGCCATCCCCTCAGCTGGCTCCTCTGCAAATCAACCAGCCATGGAGGAACCCACCCTTGTGCTGCTACAGCAACTTCTGTTACCTTGATCCAAGCTAACCTGAGTGATCTCCACCATATTGATTCACATGAGTGCAGTTTGGAGCTATGAAGTCTCAGATACTTGCCCAGTTTGGTCTCATTCCCCCCAGTGTATATTTATTTACTCTAAAGCAAGCACTGCACAGAAACAACAGTGAAGCCCTAATGCCAAGACACAAACAAATGTCTCTCAGCAGCGTTTCTTGTCCCAAGCATTTTGGTCAGGCTTTTGCTGTCCCCAGTACTCTGTCTGGAAGCTGCCCCAAGCATCTCTCATTATGGTAACAAAGAGGAAGATTGCCCAAGGTGGAGCCCCACAGTGAACTCTACCTTTCCTAAGGAGTTTAGCAGGTGCCAGCACTCTCTCCCTACCTGCCAGGCCAGCCCTGCCCACCCCTGTCTCCTCCTTACCGAGAAGGACGCTCCCATGGGTCGCCGGATCCACTTGGGTGGTTTCTTCAGAGGCATCACCACACTCTGTGGGGCAGTCTGCTGGGGAAGCTGCAGGGGAGGCAGGGGCTGGCCCGTGCCAAATGGATCAAGGTTCCCAAAAGACGAGGAGAGCTTTGATAACACAAAGGGGAAAAAGCAGAAATTATATTACTCTAGTAAACTAAAAATTTATTTGTGCACTGAAGTGGTACTCCTGGCAAGCAGGGCTGCAGGCAGCCACTGAAGACTTCCCATATTTTGTTCCCCACCCCCCTTTCTGTCCCTATTCTGAACAATTTTCAGCACCTGGTCAACTTGCTTCTGCCTCAGGCCATCGGCGCTGCCGCCCATGATGGAGTAGACACTGATGCGCCCGTCAAAGGAGGCTGCAGACAGCACAGCAGGGTTCCTTGGGCACCACTGGATGTCAAAGCACCACTGGGTGTTGGTGGGCAGCTCGTACAGCACCTGGAGAGCAAAACCAAGCCAAACAAATCAGAGCTTTCATGGAGCACACGGCCCAGTAGCAACAATCTTCCCATGTGCCCTGAGGCTGGTCTGCTCTCCCTGCTCCCCAGCAGCTTCCACATCACCATATGCACTGACAATGGGCAAACCCTCATCATTTCCAAACAGGAGAACATCACACACCACTGCTTCATCTCCTTCTTCTCCCATTAAATCTTCTGTTTGATCCTCACAGGACAAACTATGCAGGTGGGGTATGACTGTGCTGTCCCACTGACATTCATGCTAGCTTATTCAGAGCTGATTTATCCTCACACGCTATATGGAGGAAGTCTGTTTTCATAGGAAAACTGAAAAGGATAAAACCTGCACCCTGGACAGATAGCCTTTTGTGCCCTGGAACAGACAAACTCCCCTTACAGCAGATATTTAACCACAAACCAGGAGAGACACAAAAAACAAAGTGCTAGCTGTCAGCAAAATGCTGTCTCCCATGGAACTAATTTTTATTTTTAATAAAAACATGCAGCATTGTTCAACTACACGTAAAAACTTCATAACAGCACAGGATCCAGCTCATCTAACACTGTACAGCTTTTGCACTTTTGGGCTCATATCTGAATTTTAGAAACATTTCCCACTCCAAAACTATTGTCCACTATTATAATATAATTATTTCCCATTATTGCAAGGAGTCCTCCAGCGTATCTGAAGCCTTTCTCCTGGTCTAGGGACAAACACTGTCTGAAAAACAGATCTGCATTCTCTTTGAAAGGTATTCCTAGGCCCAAAAGGGCAGAGTGGGAACACATCTCAGTAGCTCTCACTGATCTGCTACAACTATGGCAACCTGCAGAAACCCTCCTGACTGGAAAAAGTTCTTATAGAAGGAAAAAGGCTATTGCAACAATGATCCAGCCAGACTGGACCCAAGATAAAAGAATAGGAAGCATATACTTAATTGAAGTGCAACCATTTCCATCTCTTATAATGAACAGGGACATCACTACTCAGTAAGAGAGAAGCTACAAGGACAAATGCGTAATATTGACAATACCAGGAAGGAATCCTGCACCACCACAACAAGCTCAGAAGACACATATAGCAAACAGGATAGAGGGCAACATTCCCCAGAAGCATCATTCCTAGGAATGCAAGCACAGGAACATGTGCTTTGCATCTGTCCCCTCTGAACAGACATTTCTGAGTTTTTAAAAGTGGTATGCATACAATACCTCGCCCGTGTTAGGGTTGGAGCAGAGAATTTTAGCATCCTTCCCACAGCTAAGTAGCAGCTCTGGATCTGCCAGACTCCAAGCAATGGCCAATATACCCCTGCATGAAAAGCCACAACAACAAAAAAAAGCTTAATGCAAAATGGTGGTAAACAAAGCATATTAAGAAGCTCAGCACTCCACATCAAAATTCTCTCTCCACTCCTTCCTCTTACAGGAGGAGGAATTTTTCAATGTTATCAGCCCTCATTTTGTTGAAATAGATGTTTTCTATTTTCTGCATGAAAGGTTATAAAGATGCAGCCATTGTATCTGAAAATTAAATGCAACAGTCATATGGGAGAACCTGGGCATCAGTAACCATATGGTTTGTTTGCCTGCAGTATCACTAATATCCAGTGTGCAAACCCATAGGTAAGGTCAGTGACTAGGAAGTTTTTCAGCTTTTCATTAGCAAGACATTCAAGTCAGCAGCACCCACTGGCAGCAGTTTTGGCAGAAGCCACAACACTCTTCTCCTTTCTTAAATCAATCATTGGATTTGATCAATAAGGAAAGTTTCACCAACAATGGAGGAGGGACAAGAATTTAACAAAATCATCCACTATACCGAAACTGAATGCATTTATAGGGACACAGAAACTGTGCAAACCCACATGAGGATGTGCCTACATGCACCTCCAGTATGCTATTCAGCCAAAATCAACTACTACTCATTTTTTTTTCCCTTAGGTTCCTCTTCTTAAAAAACTTAGAAACAAACTATTAGCTTTATTGTTTCAGGAGCCTGGTGGGTTTATTTGTTTATTTTTGGGGCCTACTTCCTTCAGAGTACCAAGCTCCAAAAACACAAATCTTTCATGGCACAGGGCTGGCTGGCCAGCAAGCCAGCATTACAGCATGGCTGCTGCTGAGATTGCCAACACCAAGGAAGCCTTCATCCCCAGGGAACAGCAGAAGTGAGGTGTACAAACTGGGACAGTCACCACAGTGCAAATACCACGGAGCACACCACACTATGTAACACTCATACCTTGTGTGACTTTCTAGAACACGAAGTGGTGAGGAGGCAAATCTTAGGTCCCACATCTGAATAACAGGCAGCCTATCATCCTCTGAAGCCAAAACCATCTGGGTGGCAACTTCAGGGTGCCACGCCAAGCCTGAGCAGTGCATCTGAGGGAGACATCAGGCCAAACAATCACACATAACTGAGCAGCACTAAAGGGAAAAGAAAACTAGCCCAAATATGTCTGTGTGCACGGTAAAACACCGCTGCAAGGGAATTTGCAGCTGTGTTTCCAGACAGTATTGCTGACTGTGTTCAGACTGGGAAATTCTCCTTATTCCTGTGAATGAGAAGATGTGCACTTAAGTTTCCCAAGGTCCTCTCAGAGAGATTACACTGTGCTGCCTTTTCCACAGTCCTAGGTTTTAATATGAGAAAAGACTAAAGCTCACCATATAAACCATTTCCTCTATTATTTTTATTGCTATTTTAATAAAAGCCAACATCAGGCAGAGAATGCTTCATTACTCTCAGGAGAGTAATGAAGCATTGTATCACAGGACTACCATCACATGATAAAGACAACCTACTGTGCTGCTGTTATGTCAGGCAACAAACACAGAAAACACAAAGTTACACAGTTTATCAAAATAATAATACAGTGAGGAAAGAGCTACTTCCCAACCACCCACTTCTAAGTTTAATTTTTAACTCTTGCTGTACCTCTGGAGTTTTTTACAGCAATATTCTATTTAAAATAGAAAATGATACAAATATGTCCACAAATTGAACAGGCTCTTTTTTGCATTTACACTGCCTAAAGGGGTGGCATGGTGGTTGTAACTATAGGAGGCAGCACCCACATAACCTGTTCAATGCCACACTTCTCTATGGCAAAATCAATAAAATCCTTCTGTAGTAGCCCCAAACAGATCAGTAAGTGCTTTAAAATTCAGTCATCACTCTGACAGGACACCTGAGTGCCTTGCCTTGCTTCAGTCTGCATCTGGTTATTTTAGTTTATAATGCTGACAACCCCTCTTACATATATATACTCCCAAGAGCAAACTGGGCCGGGCACCAGTATCTCTGTCACGTAAGAAGGGGTGCCATGAGCCATCCCTACACCTCTGTGCAAGCACCCAGCAGCTGCAGAACTCACCCTGTTGTTGTGGTCACTGACTTTGATGATGGGCTCGTTCTTCCTGAGGTCCCAGACGGTGGCCCGGCCGCTGGGGCTGGCGGAGGCCAGGATGTGCTGCACTTGCCTGTTCCATGCAATGCAGCTGATGTCCTCCAGAGGCTGCAGCACACACACAACAGCCCGTCACAACCCCGCCGCACTGCCTGCTCAAACCCCGCTATTTCCAGCACTTGCTAAGTGACAGATCTGCAAGGTGAGTGCCCCGTGTACTGGGTGTGTTCTGGCTTCCTTTCTATGCATGCTGTAGTGTACGACACCTGAAAACACTGATTTATAAGCTGCTAGAATTTCTCTGGGAAGTTACTTTCTCCTTTACAGTACTACACATTAATTATTAAAATAAGACTAAGCAAAACTGTCTTCAAGAACAGCAACTTACTCCATGAAAGTCTATCCAGACATATGAACTGCTCTTTTGTCTTGGACTATTAGGTTTTTATTTAAAAAAAAAAAAAAAAAAAGAAAAAAAAAGGTTTGCCTGAAGAAATTCCATGTTTTTTTTTTCATGTCCCCCCCAATTCTTATTTTTAGACCAAAAATTTAAAGCATTATTAACCCAGCTCCTGCTGCCCTATTATTTCTAGTTACCATTATACGTATGGACTAAAGGATATCCCAGCCTAACAAATCGCTATTAGACATAAAAAGTCTTTTACAGGGATCTCTAAGGTATCCTCTCAAATGCCTGCATGTTAATAAATTACTTGAACCAAAGCAACTAAACCCCAGAGTTTAAACTAAAAATCTTTAAATTGAAGATTACATCTCGTTCCATTTGCACACTTTTTTGTCTCCAAATTATAATGCAGTAATAAAACCATTTTTCAGTAACCGTGAACTTCTGTGGAATTTTGTAACAGCAACAGAAGTGTACTTGCATTGAAACAACTTCCTCCCATTCTTCCATTTCCTTCACAAGGCAAAAAGCACAAAAGACTATTGTTTTTCCCCATAGATCATCTTTAAGAAACACAGGCTAAACACTGAACCTCGAGTATAGCAATTAAACCACTCCCTGAAACTCACCAAGGTAACTGCAAAACCTACTGCTTCATCATCTGACTTTTCAGTAGCTGCTTTTTATCTTTCTCCTATTTTTCTCTGTGTCCTTTCACCATCTTCAGATTTGTGCATGTACTGAAACGTGCAGAGGAAGACTAAAAGACATGTTATGGTTATGGCATTTGCAAAGGAGTGTAACCTGAGAAACTCTGCTTGTTGCTTGATAAAATGCAACATTTTTTAAAGATTTCCCTGGCCAAATACAATTTCTTAATAAAAAATTGCAACATGAAGACATGACTGGCTTGTGCAGCAAGCCAAAACTGCACGTCTGTCATGGATAAAGATAGCACATCCAGGGTTGCTGCAGGGGAAGCTGAGCACACTGCTCATTGCATGGACCTGTGCACACTTGCACGCACAGCCAAGACACTGCTCTCCAGGGGCTACAAAAGCAGCAGCATCCAGTCACCCTTGTATGCAGCTACAACCCAAGTTTGACTTCAAGAGGCTTCCCCTCCTCCATGCTCTTGAGACTGCTTTAAAACTGCAAATTTCAATCAGCTGTCACTTAACTACCATGCATCTTTTTCATGAGTCTGCTCTGGAGAATGTTATAAACACAAATCTGGTACCTGTGTCTTCACTCCTGGTGTCATTGGTGTAGCAAAGTTGTTCAAGTCCCAGATATAGATTTCAGACTCATTAGCACCAGAGGCTACCAGATTAGTCTGTAAGAAATATTAATAGGCATTAAGAGTATTTCAGCATCAGCTTTCCCAGTCTTAGCTGCTGGGAGGCATCAGATCTGCAGGACTCTGCGAATTTCCCCTATCAGCTCAGGGTATAGGAAAAGAGACAGGGAAAATAGTGACAGGGCAGGGAAGGAAGCTGTGCTGCAGTTATGGCCACCACAGAGCTTTGCTCTGGACAGCGTGGCACTCCTGCCCTGCCCCCACAGTGAGTGCAGCCATCCAAAGCACTCCTGCACCTGGGATGCAAAAGTCCAGGCAGGGCAACACGAGCCAATGTCACCAAGCGCCCTTTGGTCACATTTTGTGGCTGATGACAGGCAAGTCCTGAGTCCCGAACAGGCAGAAAAGGACAGGGAAGTGATTCAGAGAGATCACAATGAACACAGCACAGCATTGCTGGAGGCAAGTGTGCAGGGAGAGAAGCGTTATTTAGGAAACAAATCCAACTGAATTCTCACACAGTTAGTGGCAACAAGGAAAAATCAACACACTGTATCTAGAAGGAAGTATATGTTCATTGGTCATGTGGGAAGGATTGCTGTTTTTGAGAGCCCTTCTGCTCAAGAGGCCACATGGCTGTGTTTCCTTGCTGTCTCCTCTTAGGAAAGGGGCCTTGAAGGTGGATCCTACCCAATTGCCAAAAAAGAGACCTGAAAACTGATCTCACCAGAAACATGAATGAGAGCACATAATTCCTTCCTGTGTAACTGGCACAATGCACAGAAGCTAAAAGAAGAAACTGACTAAAACCACACTGAAGAGCACCTCTACTTGACATATAAGCAGAGCAAAAAAGATCAACTAAATTGACAAGGTAAACTGATGAGGGGAAAGAATGAAGCAGACACCTCAAGCACTTTCATTCCCCATCCTGAAATGCCAGTAATGGGACAGGTGTTTCCTACTGAATACAAACAGACACTCAAACACCAACTATAGTTCATGCTTTCCAGGGGAGGGAAAGCAGCAGAAACATCTGAGGTTGCAAGTTAAGATAGGCCACTCCTCTACTGATGGTATGTTAAGAGAAACAGCAGAAAAACCAACCTGGAACATGTTGACATCGAGCGCTCTCACTGGTCCCGTGTGCTTGTCTTTCTGGGCTATTATTACTTCAGCCTCTCCATCTATGATTTTGGCTGAGTCATACAAGATGACATTTCCATTTTCACCCCCAGCAATCAGGACTCCAGACACTCTGTCCCCTGAGGTCATGCTGTGAGGGCCCCAGATCAGCTTGTGGTACCTGTAAGACACAGAGGGCCCCAAGTCTTAGAACCATTCACCCCAGCTAGAATGAGAGAAAAGCACTGCCTGCATTTCTCCCTAAGGATGAGTCTCAGCACAACCCTTTCCATCAAGAAAGCATGTCCCAATTCTGCTCAATGTGCACAACCAATAACCCACAAACTGATAACATCTCCAATCTCCTGGCTCCAAAATTGAGTAAGTGCTCCCAACAACAAAAGCAGTCATCAAAGTAAGGGCTGTAAGCCCATCCAGCCACAGCCTGAGAAAAACCTCTATCTGTGAGCAGTTTCATACAGAAAAAAAACAGGTGAAAGTAGAAAAATTCCATATGCTTTTCCGTATCTATGCTTTTGGATGTGCAAGTGTTTTGTCTGCCATACCAGGGACTCAGCATCACTCACAGACACATCTCCTGGACCACAGCCTATTTTCAGGCTAACTCAATAGGAATCAAACATACTTCCAGAAATTAAGAACACTATTGTGCCCATCTGTAAATACCCAAATTCTCTTCAAGTCAATTAACTTCCTGCATAAGCAAAACAGCATTCCTGTGCACTTAGCCATGCAAAGAATGAGTATGTTCTGCATAAAATTACACAACTACTTACCAGCTCTTATGCAAGCAGAAAGCAAACCCACATTGACTGGAAAGTGGCAAGGAGATACCTTAGCATTCACTGTAATGTTGCTCATCCATTTGTTACCTCTGGGCAATCTTCAAGTAATTTATTTAAATCACACCAACTTTAGCATGGTAAGATGGAGACTGCAGAAAGCTACCCAAAGAGCATATGCTGGGTGAGAAATACCATAACAGCCAAGTGTTCAGGCTCCCAGTATTGAGATTACAGAAGGGGTTCATGGAAGAATGCTGCTACAAATGGAAATTGGTTTGTGATATCAGACAGACCCATTCCTGGGTATGATTGTTATGCTTCTGCACCTAACTATGCAAGTTTACCAGAAATGAAGTAGCTGACAGGGCTGTCCAGGCATCACCACCAAGACTGAACAGGACTTAAAACAACCCAAAATGAAGGAAGGAAACAATGAGGAACAAACCCCAAAAATTAACAGTGCAATTACTTTCCTTTTGCCCTTTACTCTTTCCAAGATAAAGTATGGTTCTATAAAAGCAGTGCAAAACTTTGCTTGGAGGGCAATTAAGGATTTATCTTTTGTGGGTATAATCACCTGGACATTTTCATTTGCTGAAAACCAAAATACAGCCTGACGTATACATTGCTATCTAATCTTTAATTGGAAACAAACAAACAACCCTCAACCTCATTTTTAATACATTTTCTGGGGCAAAGTCAAATTCTCGTGTTGCTGGTCAAGGGAGGTACTTTCCAAGGAGCACTGCATCCTGGCTATAAGGAGTGCTTCTAGAAATTCAGAATGCAAATGACAAGTCTTGACAAATTTCACTCACAGTTAAAACAAGGTAGAACAACGAAACTCAAGATCCAGCACTGCCTCCTGCTCTGAGCAGGTCAGTAGGACATATTGACATCAGCTCTGCTCACAGAGCAGGGCATTTAAAAAGGGATTGTGGCTGTTTCAGTTCTGCCAGGGAGCTGCTGTGAGTGCTGCTGAGATGGAAACTGGATACTCTGATGCTAACAATATTTATCTGGATAAGCACATGGTGAGGAACTAAGTAGAGCTGTGCAGCCAGAAAATTGGCTTCCCAGCTGTCGGAACACACACAACATAACCCAAGTTAGTTATGCTACAGGAGTCCCCCTGAAATGCCTAAATACAAACAGGATGATGCAATATGAAAAGTTGCCACCAAAATTTCACATGTTCTTCTGTTTTCTTGTGAATCCCAGAGGCTTCCAAAGATAAAGGCTCCACACATATAGTCAAAAATTTTCTGTTTATGTCAAAGCATGAGCTACTTTCTTACAGTCCAACATCACTGTCCCACAGCATCAACTGCACACACTTGCCTTCATCTTTCAGTGCTGAACTGCTTCTCTCCTCAACAAGTGCAGTGAAACCACATGAAGTGACATCTCTACACATACCACACATAACAGTTCCACACACTGTACTTTTCCCTTACAACACTGCCTACCTGTGTGAGGAGGAGAATGTGGCACAGCTCTTCATATCCAGTGAAGGGTCTGCTAAGTCCAACTCAAATATTTCTAGAGAAGCACTTGTACTGAAGGTTGCATCCAGCTGCTGAGCTGATGTACCTGCAAGGAAGCACACCTGGCAGTGAGAGAGCCATGATACACAGAGCAGTAACTGCAAATGCAGCACAAGGAGGGGAACAAAAACATCATCCTTTCAAAAACGATCCTGAGATGGACTCAGGCTTCTGTTTTTATTACTTAGATGCAGTTCCACACAACTTTCCTCCCCATGGCTCTTTCTTTGGATGTTTCTTAAAGAATATGAGCAGGAAAATATTTGGGCAAGTACCTCCCTGATGATGCACAGAACGCAGTTAAAGTGACAAAGGAGCCACAAGTGACTAGTACTTAGGATTGGTGTCACCTTTCCCTGGCAGAAAGACAAGGGTTCTCACTGTTACTCGCAGAATGCAAAGCATGTTTTTATCAGCACAATGCAAGAACTCAGCTCAAAACCCCACAACATATACTGCACTCCAGCCCTCAGGACACAGAGTATCTCCTACAGCTTTCAATAACCCCTTCATGGCAGCCACCAAACAGAGCCCGAGGTCTGCTAGCACGTGCTGCCCAAAAACTCACCTGTAGCCAGGTAAATGGGGTGCTGCTGGGCAGGGCTCCATGCCTGCATGGCAGTACGGTCTACTTCCTTCAGCTTCATTTTGCTGAAAAGTAAGACCAAGACAAGTGATGCTTAAATGGTGCATGGTGAGACTGCACTGCCACGGATACAGAAGCCACTTTAGGACTCGGCAGAAGCAGCCAGAGGGACCATTTTTCTAAAGATATCCCTCAGACAGACAGCCAAGCCATCCCCTCCAGAGGGCACCCGGCGGAGGGAAGGAATGCCTCTCCATTAGCAGAGTAACATTGACACGCAGAGGAAACTGACGGCTGCTGAACCTAACACAGGAAAACGTGGGCAAAGCTTCAACAGCTGTGAAAAACCCTCTTCTCACAGCAGCAAGCACCCTACAGCAGCTTTGTGCCTTAACCCACGAAACCAACCCAGCCCCGGGAAGCCGAACACTCAGCGGCTCGTTCCTGGCTCCCATTTCATTCCCAGGGCTCCCTCGCCTCGGGGCACCCCGCGCGGCCAGCGGGACCGCCACCCTCGCCCCGTTTCCGACAGGAGCCGGAGGAAAACAGCACAGAAACAGAGGATTTCACCGTCCCTGCCCTCACATCGGCGTCCCCGGCGCTCACCCGTCCCCAGACCGCTCCAACGTGGCAGCCCCGGCACCGCCTCCCGGCCGCCACCGCCTTCCGGGCGCGCCCCGCGGCTTCCGGGCGGCAGCGGCGGGGCCGCGCCTTCCGCACGGGAACCGGGGGGCGGTGGTGATGGGAGAGTGTGTATGGGGATGTGCGGCCGCCTCCTTCCGCGCGTGTCCTCCGCGTCCCTCGGGCGGGAGCAGCCATCGGGCCTGGGGAAGAGGGAGACTGGTTAGGGGCGCCGGGAGCGGGGGGAGCCCGGCGCAGCGCCGGCAGCACGGGGGCCGCGGTGCCGCCTGTCCTCAGCTCAAGGGCAGTAATCATGGCGTGCTCAGGATGTGAACAGCAGTGAGACTCATCACGGGACAGGGGCCACCCCGGGGCGGGGAACGGCCCAAGGGAGCTCAGCCGGCTTCCACAGCCGGGGGCCACAGTCCCGGACCCACCTCCTCACGGCAGCCGGGGCACAGCTGCGCTGCCGCCTCCCGCCGCCGCTGGGCTCCGCGGCCGCTCGGCGGGCAGACGCCGTGCGCGGGGCGGGCGCTGCCCGGACCGCATGGCGCGGCCCGGCAGGAGCACAGCGGCAGAGGCGGCGGGCGCTGCCGACCCCGCTATAAGTAGGGCCGGAGGCGCGGCTCCCATTGGCGCTCAGGATCGCCCCTCGCCACTGGCTGCGCCCGCCGCCGCCGCCGCTCCCGGTTGGCTCGGGCCGCTCCCGGCCCCGCCACCGCCTCCCGCGGTGACGCGGCCAATAGGGCCGCGGTCCGACGGCCCCGCCGGCCAATGGCGAGGCGGCGGCCGGGCGCGCGGGCGGCGGCGGCGGCCAATGGGCGGGCCCGGCGCGGCGCGCGCGCGGCGGCGGGTGCGGCGGCGGCGGCCATGACGCGGAGCTGCTCCGCGCTGGGCTGCACCGCGCGCGACACCGGGCGGAGCCGCGAGCGCGGCATCTCCTTCCACCAGTGAGTGCGCCCGCGCCGCCCGCCCGCATCCCTCCCTCCGTCCCTCCGTCCCTGCATCCCGCCGTCTCCCTCTGCCGCAGGTTCCCGGTGGACGCCGCGCAGCGCCGCGAGTGGATCCGCGCCGTGAACCGCGTGGACCCGCGGAGCCGCCGGGCGTGGCGGCCGGGCCCCGGTGCCATCCTCTGCTCCCGACACTTCGCCGAAGGGGACTTCGAGCGCTACGGGCTGCGGCGGAAGCTGCGGCGGGGGGCCGTGCCCTCCCGCTTCCTCCCCTCGGTGCGGGCAGGTACCGGGCGCGCTCCCCGACCCCCCCGGGGGTTCCGCCGTGTGCCGTGACCTGCCCTCTCCTTGCCCCGCCAGGAGCCGCCGGCCGCCGGGCGCAGGAGGAGCGGGACCCCCGGCCGAACGCTGAAGCAGCCGCTGCCCAGCCCGCCCGCCGGGGACCACAACTACAGCCTGCAGGGACAGCGGGAGCCGCGGCCGCCGCCGGACGCCCCGCGGCACCAGCAGCAGCCGCCGGCCGCCGGGAGATGCGGCCCCGCGCATCGGCGCAGGACCGTGCCGAGCATCCTCAGGGAGCTGGCGGAAAAGCGGCAGCTTTCTGAGGAAATCGTGAGTTTGCTGCAGGCGCAGTTTTCAGGTACTGCCGGGACGCTTGCTGAAGCAGAGTGCATTCCCTGGCCCCGGGTTCATGTCTTTGCTTAACCCGTGCCAAGGAAGAGGCGAGGCACAGTAGTGTAGTTGCTGAGCCCTACACTGCATGCCAGCCTTCAGGACTGAGTTGTTCCAGAGGCCATGCTGTTGCTTTGTATTCTGCGGGGTGTTTATGGCATGCATCCCTCTGTTTCCAGCCATTTATTTGTTTCGCTAAAGTTGACCTTTTGTGATTTCTTAAGCAGATTTGCCTCGAGAGTTGCACAGCTGGAGGCAGATGGCAGACTACTCACCAGAAATGAGGCAATTTGCTTGTCTTCTCCATCTCTACCATATTAAGGCCTATGATTACCTACGGAAGATTCTTCCTCTCCCTCATCCTTACAGTCTGACAAAGCAAGTTTTAAGTTATTCATTTATTCAGAATGTATTTCCAGTACTGGTGTAGAAATAGATGTAACAGATCTGTCCTGAAGCTGCCTTGTTACTTCCCTGCATGGTCAACACTTTCCTTGGCTTCCTACCACTAGGGTGAGAGGAGAGAAACTCGGACTATGCATGAAGGAAACCAGGGCTGCCTTCTTTGCCCTGCATGTCTCAGCCTTCTCTGCAGCTCGGGCATGGCTGACCATGTCCTAAGTCGTAAAAAGTGCTGCCTGTTGCTTCAACTTTTCCAGAATCATGTCTCCTAATCACATCCCTTTTTTTTTTTTTTTCAGCTGGCTGTCTAATAACGAGGCTGCTGCAGGCTTCAGCAGTGACATTTTTCTCCAGCTTCAGGAAAAGGTGGAGAGAGGGGATCAGGCCTGCCGCTACTGCGCCGTGCTGGTACAGGATGTGTCCCTGCAGAAGCAGCAGGAGTGGGACCCACAGAGCAAACAGCTGACGGGCTTTGTTGACTTGGGAGCAGGCATCCTTGACGCTGACGAAGCTCCACTGGCGTCGGAAGCAATAATCCTCATGGCAGTCGGCATCTCGAGCCCTTGGACAGCTCCCCTTGGCTATTTCTTGGTGAACAGTACATCCGGCAACTTCCTTGCTCAGCTCCTTCGTCAGGCCATCCATAAGCTGAACAACGTTGGGATGATGGTCCTGGCTGTGACATCGGGTGCCTCTGCTCGCGGTGCTGAGACTGCCAGGGCTTTGGGGATCAGGATAGATCCCAAAAGGATTCAGTGCACTTTCCAGCATCCACCCGGTTCTGCTCACAGCATCGCGTACTTCTTTGATGTTTGTCATACCCTCCTGCTGATAAGGAATGCTCTGCAGTGCTTCCACAAGGTCGAGTGGCTCGGTGACATCATGTGGTGGCAGCATGTGGTGGAGCTGGCAGCTTTGGGCGAGCAGAGGGTGTTGGAGCTGTGCAGTCCTGAGTCAGGCAGGGCTGGGAGTAAAGGGAGTTACCACCTGAAGGTCAACCTCGCTACCCTGCTGTTCAGCGAGGGTGTTGCTGAGGCACTGGAGCACCTCCAGAAACTGGGCCTTACCTCATTTCAGAACTGCAGTGGGACTGTCAAGTTTGTGCGTCTGATGAGCTCGCTGTGCGATGTGTTTTATGGCAGAGGCCCCTATGGAAAGGAGTCTTTGCTAGCTGGAAATTTCACCAAAATAAGCAACCTCTTCGATGAAGCCAGGAGCTGCTTTATCAATTTAAAAGACTCTGTGGGAAGATACATTATTAAGAGCAAACGCAAACTGGGATTTCTGAGCTTCTTGCTCAACACTGAAAGCCTTAAGTGGCTTTCCTCTAACCACACATGTCAAAAAGGCACTCCTTCCCACCACCTCCACACACATGCCTTCAGCCTGGACCCCCTGGAGCAGTTTCTCAGGGCCCTCCACCAAGCCTGTGGCAGCAGCAGCCCTACCTGCGCTGTGTTCCAGGCTACTTACCACAAACTGCTGGCCAGCTGCAGCCTGGCCCCCAGCTCGCCACCCAGCAGTGGCAATGCCAGCCCCTGGAACGCATCCCCGTCTCAGAGGAGAGCTCTGACTCTGGGAAGCATTCGTGCTCAGTATCAGCCAGCTCCAGGCAAGACCCTGGCCCCAGACTACCCCTACAGCGCAGGCCTGCTTTTGCCCAGCTCTGCCCTGAGCAACGCGCTGACAGATCTGTCACTGCACATGCAGAGCCTCACCTGCACTGCTGGCTGGGTGGCCGAGCAGTTGGCCGTGGACTTGCAGTGTGAGGCTTGTTTTGCCTCTCTGTTTGAGGTGGATGAGAACAGGCTAAGATGCAGGTCAGTGCTCCACATAAAAAAATTAGGTGGCATGAGTCTGCCCTCGGCCAGTGTGCACCACATAACAAGCATTTCAGAACAAGTCCTAAACCGATATGGCAGAGTAGGAGGTGCCAACAAAAATACCAAGCTGTGGCATTTGTGTCTAGAACATAAAGTCTTCCAGGAGCTTCTGGGAGAAAGCCCCCTCTTTCCCACCCTCACAAACCATTTATTTGAGGGGAAACTGAGCATCAACAACCACTACACAATCTTAGTAAAGGAAATAACACGGTGTTACTTAAACATAAGAACACACCTCACCGAACACCTAAATTTGAAATACTCTTGTGGAAGGCACAAATTGAAGAGACTGAAAGGAAAGTATTTGTTTCCATCACCACAGGGTAGCTGTCAGTCAAGCTAAACCCACACATGGTCTTAGTGAGTATATTGTAATTCCAAGGATGGCTGTTCCTTGCTGAGCTCAGTGCTGGATAGCTCTAGGCAACATACATGAGGAAACAATGTTGGCAAAACTGGTGTTGATAAGCAGTGCTGTTTTGGGCCACTGCAAACCCCCTAACCAGAGTTTAACTGAGCAAAGCAAGGAAGTTTATCTGATCCCCTGTTCTCTCTAGCAGTCCTGCAGAGCAGCCACATATTTAATGAAACTTATATGGCAGGTCAGGATGAACCAGGGTTGCACAAGGTGCCTGGGGCAGTGGTAGGAGACTGCAGTGTCCCTGGAAATGCTGGGTGGCTTTAGTGCTGCAAGTGCTCTTGCCAGAAGAAAACTGATAATTGATGAGGTTGCAGGGAATCAATGCACTGGCACTTGGATTTTACCAAAAAGATGGGCTTTATAAAATCTGGGAGCAAGAAAGTTTTCAGAGTTTCTACTTAAATAGGAAAATAAAGATGTGAAAAGAAAGTGGCACTCAAGTTCTACACAAGCTCTAATCAACTTTCCAGTATGTCTCATGAAAGAGCTAAAGATGCTGCTCCAGTCTAGATCCTCTGGATTAGTGCTGAGCCTGTGACCAGATTGTTGTTTCCAGTGACACCCAGGAGCACCAGTATTCTCCTCTACGGACAGAAATACATGGGTGTGCTACAGCAGGGCAAGCATTTCAGTTCCCATTTCATGGCCCTATCCTCCTAGGGCTGGCATGTGTCCTGCAGCCCAGGGCACATAGCATCTTCCCTTCAATGTTTTCCACTGATCACTTGAACTATAGCTTTCGTGCCACCAAGTAGGACAGGCTTTTTCAGTTA